GGAGAGGCGGGGGAGCCGTGTGGCGGACAGAGCGTTGAATGGGGAACTCTTGGCACGAGAATTCATCTTCGACGGAAATCAGCAACAGCAGCAGCAGCAGTTGATTGGCTCAGTCGCAAGGTCTTTTTCTTTGGAGGAGCTGAGTTCAGACACGGACGAGGTGACCTCCTCGGTGCGCGGTGTGGAGAGGGGCGCGATTGGGGTGGGGAGGGGGGATGATCGTTCCTTCATCCGGCGACTCGAAACGACTTAGTAGAGAGCGAACGACGCTGCTTCGAGGATAACTCCAGAGTTGTCGTCTTGCAGCAACTCACTTTTTGGGTAACGTATTGCACGAGTGTGGTACACGTCGGATTATGAGACGCCCTTGTGTGTTTGTTCCACGTACAATATCCAAGCAGAAACATTGCGAGCGCGGCTTCTAATCGGGTCGGTTTGTGTGGATGTGTGTGGGGGGGGGGGGGGTGCAGTGGGTTGTCTAGTGGTTAGCGCGCTGCGCTACAAATCTGGCGTCACGAGTTCGAGTCACGGCCAACAGGAGTGACGATTATCTGAACTAGGCCTGAGCCTCCCCTAGGTCGACTCAGTCTCAAATGAGTACCTGGTGTAGCGGTGTGTAAACATTGGCGCTAGGGAGACAAAAGCGGCCGGGCGTGGTGCTGGCCACCCACCCCTCGTGTGCCGTTCTGGCCTTCATAGGTGCTCGCTAACAGTACTTGCCCCAACAGTCTGTTACAGGCTATACGGGGGATCTTTGTCTTTATCTTTGGTGCTGTGGTTAACGCACTGCGGTATGAACCCGGTGACCCGAGTGCGATTCCCGCTCACGGGCAACATCGTTGACGAATATCTGAACCTGTTATGCCCCTCCCGAGGTCGACTCAGCCTTAAATGAGTATTAAACATCAGCACTGGGGAGACAAAGGCGGCCGAGCGCGGTGCTGGCCACCCACTTCCTCGCTCGCTACACGGCGTGTTCGAAGCGATACAGGGGATCTTATCGCTTTTTTTGTGGCCAGGTTTGTTAAACTTTATTGGCACCGGGCACATTTCCGCACAAATATGGGGTACATATATATATTTTTAATCATTATGAGTATACATATTATATATAATATTTGCGCGTTCGAGTACCGTTTGGGCATATATAATATTAAAAGATGCAGTCCTTTGCCAATCCACTCCTGGATGAATGACTCGATCCGCCCACGCCATGTCGGGCCAAGGGGCTCGTTTGACCATACTTCACCACGCTGGTCAGTGCGGGTGTGTGAATAATGGGGGGGGGGGGGGTGACCCCTCCAGGAGCGGTTCAGATTATCGCTGGACGCCACCGATGTTCGCCGTGGGGGCTGCAGTCAAGTTTTTTTTCTTTCAAGTTTTTCATTTATTCGGTATGGCCCTGTGAGCCATGCAGCTCTTAAGTCACGTGCAACCGCAACACACAAAATATGACGAACGTGGGTCGCCGGGTTCATCATGTTCCACCCACTTATCGACGTCAGCATGTACATACTGTGACAAATTTCAACCTTTTATTTCACCCGCGCAAGAATAGCGTTAGATTCTTGATTTGAAGCTTTCGTGACTGCAAGGATTCATACTCTTAGGTTTTTTCGGTAAAGTCACAGCTAGATTATTAATCTTACCTACGTGACTTTATCCGAAAAAACCTAAGAATATGAACCATGTGCTTTGTTTATCCAGTAGCTGAATACCCTCTCCTAGATGTACAGACACACACACTGTCCATTTACATACGAGACGCCTATCGCCAACTCACGTGCAGTGCGCCCGAATTCGTTACAAGTGCGAAGCTAAGCAGGAGCTGAGCCTGGATAGCCTTTTGGAAGGGTGATCACCACGCACAGCTTGCCACGCAGGTGTCTCGCTGGCCTATGCTCGCGTGTATGGGGAGCAAAAGGGCAGTGCGGTGACATACATTTCGTGCACCGTCCTTCTGCGCTACGCAAACCTTGGCTGGACCTCGCGCTGGCCAGCTTGGTCAAGAATGGTGAAATATCGCTCAGGGTCCGCACAGGCAGGCGTGACTCTGAAGGTCCTGATCCAGCAAATGGAACGGATCTCTAGTGTGCGCCAGAAAACGTCCCACCTGGTACAGTATATAGACAAGTTACCAGGAAACCAGGTTTCTCTCGTACGAAGAGCAAGAAAACATGGCCATATTCACCTCTGACTTTGGCACGCGGTGTCGTCCGTCCGCTGGAGAGATATCTGTCGGAGGGATCTTGGCGCAAAAGGTATTCAGCGAATGGCAAGAATTCGATGGGAGTAAAAAAAAACACGGCACACAAAACACGTGCCTTGGCTCGCCCAGCGCCTGACCTGGGCCAAATGCCGAACCTTAAACCCGTAAAAGCGATGGTTAATATTGTGGATTTACTCTCCAGCACACCGGTGAGCTGAACTCTTAACGAACTGGCTCTTTTTTTTAAGTGACAAACTTTACTAATTGGCTGCATCGGGTGGTGGCGGTTTAAACGACACATTTATATTCACGCGATTTAACCCAAAAAAACTGCATTATGGATTAAAACCGTACCCTGCGTGAACATCAAACCAGCGTTTGGGGTGCACAAATTGAACGTGCGAGTCATGGGTGGTCGTGTTCGTTGAATTAGCCACGTTCGTCAAGCGCGCTGTTTTCTCTTCCTTTAATTATTCACGAGTTTCACGGTGACCACGGCTGCATGTCGATCGCCAAACGTGGCGGATGTCTACGGCTACACCCAACCAAAAGGGCGAGAGTAACGCGTCTGAAACTAAAGAGGGCAGGCCGATGTCATTCGGCAAGGTTATTTGGAGGAGCCCTGCAAAGGGAGAACAACAAAAACCCGGCACGGAACGCGTCCAAAGCAGCGGACTGGAATGGCCTCTGCCCGAGGACACTGACGGCTTGAGTCATTCCGAAGGGGAGCGACCCCGATGATCGGATCTGGCACGGGAATATTGTCAGCGGCAGCGGCGGTCGTCGTGATATTCTGCAGGCTTAGACTAAGGCTATGACTCAAATGTAACGTTACGAACATTAACTAAGCTAACGCTGCGCGACGTGGCTGTTTTATTGTCCTTGGAACGTGCGTGCGCATTTCCAAGAAATGCCACTTTTCTATCCTATCGCTTGCGTGCAGGTTTATCTGCGTTTGTCCAGACAACTGCACACAAGTGTGTTTGTCTCGACGGCGCTGCGTCGGCGGTGTGTGCGCCGAGCCAACAAAAGGCGTGGTCCCCCCCTCCTCCTCCTCCTCGAGGCCAGAAAGAAACACGATCAAGAATGTGGTTCCCTTTAAAGCTAGTGTCCTGAATTAATGCAATTTCCCTAAAGCGTAAGAGTTATTCTTTGGTTCTTTTCGGTTAAGTCACGTCTAAAAATAAAATAATAAATTAAAATAACATATTACGACGTTTCGATTGCAACACAAGCAATCATCATCAGGCATAAAAGAAATAGCAACAAAAATCTAACTAGAAATAATAATAATAAAAATAAAACATAATAAAATACAATTCTCACGACGTTTCGGCCACAACCCAAGCAGCCGTCCTCAGGTGAAGAACAGAGCCGTCGGAAAGACAGCGTTCGAATGGCATAAAATAAAATTCTCACGACGTTTCGGCCACAACGCAGCGTCTTTCCGACAGCCCTGTTCTTCACCTGAGGACGGCTGCTTGCGTTGTGGCCGAAACGTCGTGAGAGTTGCGTTTTATTATGTTTTATTTTTATAATTTTATTATTTCCCTTCTACTTGACTTAACCGAAAGAACCAAGAAATGAAATATCCTACTGTAAAAAGTTGACGTGTTTACTGTACCGTACTTACCACTCCAACCTCGAAGACTCTGCATGGGGTGATGTGTGTTTCAGCAGAACCACGTGTTTCACGATCACCGGGCTGATGCCGAATCACGTGAACTTTTTACCGGATCGCACTGCATTTTTTCTGGTTTTATTCCGGTAGTTATTAGTCATGAAAAATGTATTTAAGTGCAGTATTTGCATTGTTGAAGTTGTTTTATGTAGTGTATCACGTACCGTACATAATATTTGACACTCAAATCAAGCGTAGCTACTTTTTTTAGTCACGCGCGCGGTGCCGATCGCCGGACTGGTGACAGCCTTTGGAGCGGTTTCGCCGGATCGGCCCGGGATAATGTTGGAAGCACGGCGGATAATCGATGATCAACCGCATATACTTTGTTGTGATTCATTTATTGATCGTAACTTGTTTAACTTCTCTCTATTTCGCGCTTCTGTCGTTTTTTTTGGTAATAGTTTGTCGTTGTTACGCGCTGACCCACCCCGACTGGACATCATCTGCGATAAAAAGCTTCCTAGCTCATCGGATTCCGTGATTACCAACGCGACTCTCTGGCCTCATCAGTTCTCCCCATTGTGCGAGCCGCCTGCTCCAAAGCCACGTGGTACGCCACGTGGCGAGCAGCGCTGCGTAGTGCCGGTCAAACAATCCACCACGACCGACCGCGATCAGGAGGAGCGCCTTCATCCAGCGGCGGATTGACGAGGATTATTAATATCTCACCCAAGAGCCGTTTCGACTTATACCGTACCTTAGCCGCCCAGGCCCCCGTGATCCACTGCACCCATAACGAGGGTTCAGCCGGGTTTGTGCAGGCCAGGGACCTGGCACAAACCACGACATTCAATATACCCGCAATTACATCATTAGACCTCCTTTGCCAGTACCAAAATATAATAATAGGGGTTTTTCCACTTTTTTCTGGCAACAAAACTGAAAACTTCTTCTTGGTTCTTTCGGTAAAGTCACGTAGAAGGGAAATAATAAAATAATAATAAAACATAATAAAATACAATTCTCACGACGTTTTGGCCACAACGCAAGCAGCCGTCCTCAGGTGAAGAACAGGTCTGTCAGAAACGTCGTGAGAATTGTATTTTATTTGTTTAATTTTTATTATTTTTTTATTTCCCTTCTACGTGACTTTACCGAAAGAACCAAGAAGATGAATCCCTGCAGTCACGAAAACTTTAAATCGAAATAAAACTGAAAACTATTAACAAGGATTCATGTCTGCATTAACCACAATACTTGTAGTCTAAATGGAAAACAAAAAACACACTCTGATAATATATGCATTGTCCTTAAAACTGATTGGTCCACACCAAGGGATGGCTTTCTTTAATTAATAAGTTTCAAGAACAATGCATATATTATCATGGTGTGTGTTTTTTGTTTGCATTTTGACTGCAAGTATTGTGGTTAATGCAGACATTAATCTTTGTTAAAAGGTTTCAGTTTTGTTGCCAGAAAAAGGGGGAAAACCCCTATTATTATTATACTGTGGCTGCGAGCCAGACGCCACCTACTCTGGTCGACCTGCGAAACAGAATGTTCGGTGAGAATTTAAGCAACGATCGTCACCATGAGGGTCCCCCATTGCTTTTGGGTGCTTTCCATTCGGAGTTGGCAAGCGATGCTAGATTGCCGTGATAAGTCTCTTCACTTTATAAGAAGCACACTGAAGGCTGCCATGGTGGCTGTGGCTGTTGGTGGTGGTGGTGGCGGTAGCGGTGGCGACGGAGCGTCTGTCCCCGGCTCCGATACGACGCGACCGATCGCCGTGAGTATGCGACGCGACCGATCCTCGTGCGTACGCGACAGATCATCCTCGTGAGTACGCGACCGATCGCCGTGAGTACGAGACAGATCATCCTCGTGAGTACGCGACGCGACCGATCATAACCGGTCATGGCGGCTCACGGCAGGAGAGCGAGTGGCTAACTGGTGGGTTGACTCAGCCCATCATCGCTCCATCGGGGGGGGGGGAGGCGGTGGTCGATAAGATGTGTACAAGCCTCGGGCGGCCGTAAACACGAGACGAGCACTGACCTCGAAAGTCCAATCTTGGCGGAAGATCGCTTTGACCTTTTGACCCCGCCGCTCCCACCCCCCACCTTCGCAGGCAGCTGCAGCCTCCTTCACGATGGCCACCTGCAAGGAGGTGAGCTGCGTCATCCCGCCCGACTTCGGCACGGTGATGTTCCCCGTCATCTACTCCATCGTCTTCATCGTCGGCATCATGGGCAACGTCGTGGCCGCCTTCCTGGTGCGCCTCTACGTCAAGCAGAAGAACGTGCTGGGCGTCTACCTCCTCAACCTGTGCATCTCCGACGTGCTGTACCTCGCCACGCTGCCCGTGTGGATCGCGTACACCTCCAACGAGGAGTCGTGGACGTACGGCGAGGGGGCCTGCAAGGCGGTGGGGTTCTTCTTCTACACCAACAACTACAGCACCATTATCTTCCTGTCGTGCATCGCCCTCGACCGATTCCTCGCCGTCGTCTACCCGCTGCACTCGCTCGGCCTGCGGCGGATGCGCACCGCGTGGGGCGTCTGCGCCGTCGTCTGGATCCTCATGCTCGTCACCAACTTGCCGCTGCTGTTGCACCCGCAGCTCTTCAAGGACAGCCACAGCCGCTCGCTCTGCTACGAGCGTTACCCGATGGAGCGCTGGGTAGCGCAGCTCTCCTACTTCCGTGTGTTCGTCGCCTTCCTGCTGCCCTTCGTCATCACCGTCGGCTGCTACGGCTACATCATCCGCACGGTGCACCGCTGCGCCTCCGTCGAGCGCCGGCGCAAGCGCAAGATCATCTGCCTCGTGGTCGTCATCATCACCATCTTCGTCGTCTCCTTCCTTCCGTACCACGTGCTGCTGCTGGTGCGGGCCATCGCCAGCGACGTGACGGAGGGCTGCAGCTGCGACTTCGAGATCAAGGTGCGCAAGGCGTACCGCGTCGCCTTCGCGCTCACCTGCCTCAACAGCGCGCTCGACCCCATCCTCAACATCTTCGTGTCGGAGAACTTCCGCGAGGACCTGCGCAAGGCCGTGGCGCCGCTGCGGGCCTGCCTGCGCGCCGCCTCCTGCGGCAGGTGGCCGCAGGAGCCCCTGCGGCGACAGTCGGCCACCACGGGTACCGGCACCGTGCGCAACTCGAGGGTTCCGCTGTTCAAGACGTCCCTGAACCAGGGCTCCGCCACCACGACGGTGCTGTAGCCTCGGCGCCGTAGCGGTGGTGTCGTGGCAGCAGCCGGGCGGGTTGCGCGAACGTCGACGGGTAACGTCACGGTCGTTACCGCTTCCAAGCGCACACGGCGGCTCGGTGCGGGATGCCATCGGCAGGCTGCCGATCGCAAACAGTACGGCACGCAACGTCGACGAGTTAATCGGTGCCAACACGGAATATAAAACTAGGTTTTTTTTACAAAGCAGGAGAGAACACCACGTGACCACATGACCCCCCCCTCCACAAATTGTTTTGTGCAGTGGTGAGTGGGGGGAGGAGGAGGCCGGGAGTGACAAGCCATGTGCTCGTGTCCTCCTTCTCACCCCCTTCGATATTTTTCCTTCACACGTGCCCACCCCCCCGCCCTCCACACACCACGATAAATTTGAATTCATCCTCGCGCACCGCTCTCTCGCGCGAGGCGGTTGCCCCGCTGCTCCTCTGCGAGCGTTCCGAATCGTCGGATCTCGTGCCGCGTGACGCCGATAACACTGGTCAACACACTTTTTCTGGCATAAGGTATTCCGACGGTTATAAGGTAATTTAGGGGTGCTGATTCCAAATCTGGTATCAGTTTTTGTCTATCACATCAGTTTTTTTAGATATCAAATATTTCATTTTCAATAAAAACTGCAAAAGAAAAATATTAAATAAATGTGGATATCTACATAAAATGATTTTATAAACACACTATCCTAAAAATACATCACCATATTTTAACACTAAAGCAGTCACTGACTCGCAACAACTTGCAATCATAAGTGACGGAGTTAATTTCGGGTAAAATCAATGAAAATGGGGTATGCCGATAGCATAAAAATGAGATGTCATAGAGCAAATCTGAGATCAGATTTGGAATCAGCACCCTGAAATTAGTCTAAAACAGCTGCAAAAGTCCAGGCCAAATTTTTTTTTGTTAACCAGTATTATCGCGTTCCGGATGAACTTGTGGATAGATGAATCTTTTTAAATGATGTTATCTCCATGCACCGCTTACGAAGAGGTGTCACCATCTTACAACGTTTGCGAGAAAGGTTTCTCATCATCTTGGGCCGATGTGAACCGCTTTGCTCGCGTTCTTACTGTGTTCAGTATTTTGTACATATTTTTTTTTATTCTTTAATTTGTCGATTGAGCTAATAATTTTACTACGTTCTTGACCAAAACTGAGAGTTAGCCTATCAAGGGCCGGAGCAAGCATCGGCACCATCGAAAGTAGCTCATCCACCGTTCGTAGGCACCCGTTTATATGTTTTTGTAATTGAAAGAGCGCATTCACTTGATAGCCACGCCCTTTACAAGTGGTTGCCACGGACTTCACTGCGTGTTGGTCCCCACGTGAAAGGAAATTGGAAGGAGCGATGGCATTGTGATATATGATGATGGGTTTTCCCCTTTTTTGGCAACAAAACAGCTGTGTTAAGATGTTAAAACACCAAACTGAAACCTTTTTCGAGGAATCATGTCTGCATTAACCACAATGCTTGTGGCCAGAATGCAAACAAAAAAAAACAAAAAATACTCTGATAATATATGCATTGTCCTTGCATATGTTATCAGAGTATTTTTTTGGGTTTGCATTCTGACCACAAGCATTGTGGTCCCTTGTAAAAGGTTTCAGTTTGGTGTTTTAACATCTCAACACCTGTTTTGTTGCCAAAAAAAATGGGACAAACCTATTATCATATGTTGGTACTGGCAAAGTAGATGCCATGATTGTGATATATGTCAGCTGCTTCGCCTGCCGAGTGAAAAATCAGCTCCGGGTCTCGTGGAGCGAGTTCGATTCCAGCTCACGGCCCACACCGCTGGCGATTCATCTGAACCGGCGCTGCGCCTCTCCCGCCTAGGTCGACTCAGCCTCGAGTGAGCGCCATGGTGCGGGTGCGTCATTGTCACCCGCTTGGGAAGACGAAGGCTGTCCCTGGTCCGTCGGCACGTGACTTGTGTACGAATCCCTCTGTTCGCGCCACCGTCGGCAGGAGGACCCCCCCCCCCCTCCCTCTCTCCCTCTCTCGAGTGAGGGCCTCTTCTGCCGACAGTGCCGCGAGAAAGGCGATTGCAGGGCTGCTGTGCACCCTTACCAAGAGAGATTCTCCCAAGAGGGTGTTTTTGGACTACTCTTCTTCCACGCTGGTCAGACAACCTCGGAAGCTTTAGGTTTGTATGATGTTTAAGTTATACTCTTTGGTTCTTTCGGTAAAGTCACGTTGGTGACTTTACCGAAAGCAGACCGTGCTTTCCCACCTGATTACGGACGCTTGTGTTGCGGCCAACGTCGTGATTTATTTTATTTTCTACCTTCGTGACTTTACCGAAAGAACCAAAGAGTACGGGATTCCTGCAGTCACGAAAGCTTCAAATCGATGTTTAAGTTAGTTACGTGAATTGAGCTGCAAACATTGCAATTTTATCTCCGGCGTGTTCAACGTTTATACATCTTGTTCATAAAATAAATTGTAAGATTGCAACAAAAACCAAAGACAATTGTAGAAATGAATGTTGACTTGACCTACGGAAGTCGTGTGCGTACAACTGTGGCGACGACTGTTGGCGGTTCTCAGGACAACACACCCAACGAAGATCGATCAGCAACACGCTCCCCTGTGAAACTCTCATCCCAGATTGGCAAGGGCTTGGGCAGGCCTTCAGTGGATCAATCAGAGCTGCTGCTGATGATGATGATGACAACGACTATGATTGATTATTGAGTGGCTTCGTGAACAATATGACACCATCCACGCGGGTTACCTCGCCTGGTATGCAGGCGATAGTGGGTTCGATTCCGAGCATGACGCCTGCTGCTGCCTATTTGGAGTTTGCGTTCTCTCTCTCTCTCCCCGTGGTCGCGTGGATATTTTTCCGGGCCCTCCGGTTTTCCCCTCCACATTTAGAATCAACATCGTGCTTTTAAGAGCATTTGGCTGCTATGAATTTCCACACGATGATAAGCCACTTACTAATCATTTGTGATAGCGAGGCCACCTCTGAAAAAGAGCTATAAAGTAGCTCAGTGGACGTTACTGCCTGGTAGAATAAAAAAAAACCGGTTTAATAGTCGATTTAAAGTGAGTCCACCAGTCTGAGTTCCAGGGGCATCTCTTGGGGATTTCACAGCCACAGCGTTGGTCTCGCAGCACCGCCACCAACACCGCTATGATGCCCGCGGGGGTTTTTTTTGTTCTTTTGTTTTGTGGTCAGGGCCACAGGCCACTTACCGCATAGCCGGAAACCTCTCGTTCTCACAGCCCCCCCCCCCCCGCGCCTGCCCTGCGCTGGTGGCCAGGTGGTCCGACAACGCGGGAGAGTACCAACACGCCGCTGCAAGGTTACAAGGCGTCGCGCGCTCTTCACGGAACCACAGAACGTAAATGGAGAGAGGGGGGGGGGCAAAACACGTAGTGGGGAGGGGGGGGTGCTTATTGGGTTCATCGCTGTGGGTTGTTTCTGCAATCGTTGTTGCTGCGACTGTGCACCGCGTGCCTCCGCCACTGCACTGCGTGTTGCTGCCTCGCACGTCCGGTTGTAAATTGTGAACTGAATCTCGCTCGAGGCGTTTCGGTTTACGCGTTTCTTGGGCGTTGGGCGTTGGGCGTGAGCGGAGTACGAGCGGACGTGGCGACCCGAGATCGATCCCCCGCGCACGGTCAGCGTCGGGGACGAATATCTGAGCCGGTCCCGGACCTCTCCTAGGTCGACTCGGCCACAAATGAGCACCTGGCGCGGTGGTGTGTAAACATCGCCACTGGGAAGACAAAGGCGACCGGACGTGGGGCTGGCCATCCACCCTCTCCTTGTGCCGTTGTCAACCTTGACAGACGCTGTTCGCCAACAGCCCTTGCCCCAGAAGTCTGTCGAGGCTATACGGGGCCAAGTGCGGGGTGGTGGGGGGTGGCTGCGTCTCTGTACGTGCTTGCGATGAAGTCGCCCTTTTACAGCGATAGTCGGAACAAATGCGCGCACGACGTAGCAGCAGCACTGTTGCCAACTGACCCCCACCTCGTTTTAGCGACTCGCACGGGGTGAGGAGGCTTAGGCAGCGATTCTAGGTATGCGGCACGGGATTTCCCTGTGTTTACTGGAGCTGCCGCCACCGTGAGGGTGGCCGGAATGGGTTTGCAGCTCCTCTCTGTGGACGCGACTCGAGATCCAGAGAGGTCGCCAATTCGATTTCATCTTCCGGCGCGGTGGGTCGATCATTTAAAAAAGGGGGGAGAGGGGGCACATAAAGCAAAGCATTGAAACAAAAAAAACTAAATAATAAACGAAGCAAAGTGCCGACAACACCGAGCATCTTCTTGTTTCCTCTGATCGTAAAAGAAAAAAAAATACCCGTAAAAACAAAGTTTTTCACTATAAATCCTTTATATGCGTGGCGGCTAGAGTCCTCTCGTCCTCTGGCTTGAGATGGCTGCCACCTATGGGTCAGATGATTGTCTGCCACCATTAAGCAATTGGTAATTAAGTATTAAAATGTTTTTTCCCTAAACAGTGTAAAATTTTGGAAAAAAAAATTCACGAAAATTAATTGTCATGCACAACGAGTCTGTGCACAAAATGTCAGCTCGATTGGATCACGGGAAGTGGGTTAAAAAACGACTGAAAGATTTGCACGGTCGTAAGCAAGCAAGCAAACACGCAAGCACGCAAGCAAGTGAACTTAATATAAAGGATTTAAAAAAGCAACGTGTTGGCAAGAGGCTTTAAAATTTATAATAATAAAGCCCAAACTTCTCGTCGACCCAGCAGTGTGAATGGTTAACGGCAGAGAGTTGATAGATCGGACAGCAGAGACGCGTGCGGTGGTGGGATAACATCGTAGGTGCGCCCTTCGTCTTACTACGGGTCCAGGAAAAGGTGGAAGAGCGAACCGGACAGCGGAGGGAGTTCGCTCGAGTTGGCAGAGGGACCCTTCCGCCAGCAAGTAGCGAGAGCGTGCAATTGCAGGGCCGCGCCTTGACATCGTCGTCAGTTTAAATCTGCGTAAATATTCGGAATGGGGAAACAACAAAAACTGCCGAGTGAAGTTTTGAAGGAATAAAACAAGTAATCCCGTAAAAACTAAGTTTTTCACTCTAAATCCTTTATATGCGTGGCGGCTAGAGTCTTCTCGTCCTCTGGCTTGAGATGGCTGCCACCTATGGGTCAGATGATTGCATTGCACCATTAAGCAATTGGTAATTAAATACTTAATTTGTTTTCCCTAAACAGTGTAACATTTTGGGATTTTTTTTTCACGAACATTAATTGTCTCGCACAACGAGTCTGTGTGGAAAATGTCAGCTCGATTGGATCACGGGAAGTGGGTTAAAAAACGACCGAAAAATTTGCACGGTCGTAAGCAAGCACGCAAGCACGCAAGCAAGCAAGCAAGCGAACTTAATATAAAGGATTTAATAAAGGATTTAAAAATGATCGAGCCGGACGACCAAGGCTCGTTGCATGTAACTCGTACCTGTCAACCCCTTGTCAGTGCCTACCTTACTACAGAGTAATTCAGACCTTCTTGGCTACCCCGTGCCACTATAAATCTCAACGTTCATCCTACAAAGTCCCATCGCAAGGGAGAAACGCAAACAAACAAGACATTCTATTTGCGTGTGCCCGCATTGAAACGGCTGTACGCCGCTTGGACCTGAAAACTCAATTTGCCTGTTACAAAACTACGGTGTGAACCGGATGGGTTGATAGGGTATGGTCAACTGTATGTTGAACTTCCTTCACACCGTACGTAGGCTGAGCCCCGGAGCGATCCCCCGGGGGGAGGGGGGGGGCAAGAGCTTTGTAGCTCGTCGGATTCCTCCAGTGTCAATAAATATTCTCCGATTATTTTGTTTTTGTTCCCCTCCTGGCTACTTCTTCTTCGCGCCCAGGGCCTCTCCCCCGTGTCCGCTTTCACTTCTCATGCTGACTGCACCACTCCCAGGCCTCCACCTGCAGCGCCCCCACGCCCCTCCCCCACCATCCCTTCACCACCACCCCACCTAGATCCCCCCTCCTACATCACCCCCCCCACCCTTCATCGCCTACCCCCCCCCCTTCATCACCCCTCATCCCCCTCTTCATCACCCCCCTCACCCCCCCCCCTCCTTGATCCCCCCCCTTCATCGCCCCTCCTCACCCCCCTCCATCGCCCCCCCCCTCACCCTCCCCCTCACCCCCCCTTCATCGCCCCCCCCCCTTTCATCACCCCTCATCCCCCTCTTCATCGCCCCCCTTCACTCCCATCCATCGCCCCCCTTCATTGCCCATCCACCACCTTCATCGCTAACACCCCTCACTGCCCCGCCCATCCACCCCGCACCCACTTTTCTCCAAAGAAAAAACACAAAGATCCCCCTCCCCGTATAGCGTGCTCAGAATGTTGTTGGGGTGAGCGCTGTTAGTGCACAGAATGTTGTTGGGATGAGCGCTGTTAGTGCACAGAATGTTGTTGGGGCAAGCGCTGTTAGTGCACAGAATGTTGTTGGGGTGAGCACTGTTAGTGCTCAGAATGTTGTTGTGGCGAGCGTTGTTAGTGCACAGAATGTTGTTGTGGCGAGCGTTGTTAGTGCACAGAATGTTGTTGTGGCGAGCGTTGTTAGTGCACAGAATGTTGTTGGGGCGAGCGCTGTTAGTGCACAGAATGTTGTTGGGGCGAGTGCTGTTAGTGCTCAGAATGTTGTTGGGGTGAGCGCTGTTAGTGCTCAGAATGTTGTTGGGGCGAGCGCTGTTAGTGCTCTGAATGTTGTTGGGGTGAGCGTTGTTAGTGCACAGAATGTTGTTGGGGCGAGCGTTGTTAGTGCACAGAATGTTGTTGGGGCGAGCGCTGTTAGTGCACAGAATGTTGTTGGGGTGAGCGTTGTTAGTGCACAGAATGTTGTTGGGGCGAGCGTTGTTAGTGCTCAGAATGTTGTTGGGGCGAGCGTTGTTAGTGCACAGAATGTTGTTGGGGTGAGCGTTGTTAGTGCACAGAATGTTGTTGGGGCGAGCGCTGTTAGTGCACAGAATGTTGTTGGGGCGAGTGCTGTTAGTGCTCAGAATGTTGTTGGGGTGAGCGCTGTTAGTGCTCAGAATGTTGTTGGGGCGAGCGCTGTTAGTGCTCAGAATGTTGTTGGGGTGAGCGCTGTTAGTGCACAGAATGTTGTTGGGGCGAGCCCTGTTAGTGCTCAGAATGTTGTTGGGGCGAGCGCTGTTAGTGCTCAGAATGTTGTTGGGGCGAGCGCTGTTAGTGCTCAGAATGTTGTTGGGGCGAGCGCTGTTAGTGCACAGAATGTTGTTGGGGCGAGCGCTGTTAGTGCTCAGAATGTTGTTGAGGCAAGCGCTGTTAGTGCTCAGAATATTGTTGGGGCGAGCGCTGTTAGCGAGCGCCTGCGGTGTGGCCAGCACCACGCCACACCGCCTTTCACTCCCCACGGGGCGATAATTACACACCGCGCCAGCGACCCGGTTGATGCCGAGTCGAGCGATGGGGAGACACAGAACACCGGTTCAGACAATCGTCACTGATGTTGGCCGTGAGCGGGAATCGAACCTCGGTTTTGCCGGGTTCGAAGCGAAGCGGCGCTCACCGCCACGCTACCGCTCCCCGCCACGGCACCCAATCCACCCCGTTGCTCCTCACCCACCCACCCATCCGGCCCGCCGTCCCTACCCCGCACAGCATCATTTGTTTTCTCTCGCAGCTCCGGCTGTAAACACGGCGCGTTGGGCCGATCCAACCGCGTGCCAACCAATCAACGATCGGCACGCTTTGCCGCGTGCAGGCATTGCCAGTCTCAGGACGTTCCGTGGTTTCGTTTTTATCACCAAAAACAGAAGAAGAAGAATTCGTCGCTGTAACGGAGTTCAACTTCGTGGCAGCGGCGGCGATTAAAACGTTGACACTGGGCCCTGCGCGCGTGACCCAGCGACTCGGGCTATTGCGGCGACCGGCGGAGCTGGGATCGTGCCGATCCGGTCCGCGTTTTTCACCTCGGCGTTTTCCATTCACCGCTACGGTGACCGGCTGAGCTGGAATCTCACCACGCCGCGTTCCGCGCTCCGGTCCGCGTACTCCACCTCTGCGTTTTCCATTCACCGCTGCGGTGACCGGCTGAAGTGGGATTCCCACCACGCCGCGTTCCGCGCTCCGATCCGCGTATTCCACCTCAGCGTTTCCATGTAACCGCTGCTGCCCAAATCTATTGTTCTCCAATCAAATGCAAATCTGGTGGTCGCAAATTGCGGGCACCTTTAACTGTTGAAAACCAAACAAAAAACGGGAACCTTCCAAGCCTCCGGGTCGCGACGAAGGGAACTCATAAAAAATTATTAGACACACAAAAAATGTCTCGGCGATTTTCTCTTCAAATTGAGCATTGAGACATTGGTGCAAATCTCCCGTTTACGGCCCTGCTACGGAGCCACTCACTGGTGGTAATTCCACATTGCTATGACAGGAGGGGTGGGTGTGTATATCCGTAGAGCAAACTATTGACTTCCCCCCCCAAAAGTGGTGCTGGATTTTATCGACCTCAGAGGGAGGGGAGCGATGGGCTATATTCACCCGACCCCCCAACCTTCCGATCGCAAGCCGCTCGCTCTCTCTCTCTCTGAGCTACCAACAACAACAGCAGCCGCCATTCGCCACGGGTGGCGATGACGTCAGTACAGCGCTTGTGCCAGGCTAGGTGCACTCCGACGCCACGTGAGCTCCCACCAGCACCGGCAGAGGAGGAGCGGCACGCAACAGCGCATTCACGAGCGAACGCGTCGTCTGGCAGTAGGAGCGGTACACGTTTAACTCTCCGCCTCTCTTGAGTGCGACTTCATTCCAAAGACGCCGTTGCGAACCCCCCCGACTCTCCACGCTCTCGGTTTTCCGCGCGCGCGCGTGCGTTGGCGTGCGCGTCTGAGTTGTTAATCCCCAATTATTTGTGTCCGTTCCCTTTTCAGAATTTCAGCTCGGAGCGCCGCGAACCGTAAGACACTTCGTGCGCCGCGCGGACCAAGGTCTTAGCGCGACCGAGAAACCCTCCTTTAAGTTGCCGGGCGCTTGAGCCCGTCGACTTTACGCGTAGCCTCTCGCCTCGCGCGCACCCTGCCACCTTCGGAGCCGAGGACACGACGCGGTTTAGAGCCCCCCAACCAACACCTGGGACGGGGCCTCCTCGGCCGAGCGCGCGAGCGGCAGCGCTGGGCGCTCCGAGTCGAGCGGCCCCACAGCGGCCCCACACCTCTGACCTTGGGCAGCCCCCCTCCACCACCCCCCCCCCCCTTCGTGGGCAGAAGACCACCAAAGACGGGACGGAGGACCACGCATAGCTGCACTTTTCTGGCGGCAAGGCGCGGGCTGCTGCAGTTGCAGAAGAGGCCTTCCGCTATAGAACTGACTCTCGGTGGTATTTTGCCGCTCGGCTCTTCCACGTTGACCAGCACCCACACTTTACCCCACCATCACTGCTACTAGGTGGACAGAGACAGCGCAATTGCGAGGTGTGTGTGGGCGGGGGAGAGATTTGAGAATCTTGCTCCTATTGTTTCAACCTTGCCGCGCCAGGAGCTGGGATTCGAAGTCCCGCGAGCCCTCTGGGTCGTAAGCCCTGCGTGCTATTCGCGACGGTGGGTGGTCCTGTCAGCGTGCCACGGGGCGTCTCGGAGCCTGGCGCAGCTGCCGGGCGTTTGAAACGGAACGCGGTTCCTGTTGGCACGCTGCTGCTGCTGCTGCTATAGGCTGGAGAGAAAGTGTGTCCCGCGGCGAGGAACCAGTGGCTCCCCCTGACCTCGCGGTCGACATCCCTGACTCGTCTTCTCCACGTGGGGTTATATTTCTGCTCCTGTTTCTCTATTGCAGCGAGCGGCAGTCAACGCGTTAATTACTTTCGTTTTAATTGTTAGTATTGATACCGAAGGCGTAAAATGGCGAGCGCGCGTACATTTGTTTTAGTGACATTTAAAATGCTGGCACGAACCGGTTTTTTTTTTCCGTTCAAAATTAGTTATGAAAAATTTGACTTTTTTCGGTAAATAAATTCTACAGCGTACATATACACAGACACACACACGTACAAAAAATGTATACAAACATTCTCGAGCCGCGACGAAGTCTAAGCGATCATGCGAGACCTGTGGCCCGGTCCGGGTGTTGTGGGATGCTGTTGGCATGAATTACGCTATATAACATGAAAGTATTATTATTATAACGCACTACATTTCCAATGGGCGAGTAATTTCAGCCGGAGCTGTATAAGGCTGAACTCTTTAAACTATTCCCCCCATCCCACAGCGGGTTGGGTTTTGAGGCTTGAAGGCACTTTAGACAGATAAAAAACAATCGAGGAGAAATGAAAGCCAATTATTTGGTGCTCCTGCTGTTGTTGTGTTTGGCTTTGGTGCACAAGCTCAAATAATCATTACAAAAAAAAACTCACCACGTCTGTCAATACTCTGGCTTTCAAATCTGTTTTTGTTGTATATTCGGCGACGTTTTGGGTAACCTTCCCTTCTTCTACTGCACATCAATGAACAAAGGTCACTCTCTGCACACGAGACCACAGTGGTCCCTTGGGTTCTCAGATCATGAGGGCCGACAGGAAAATGAGGGGTAAATTGGAGAAAATATTAAGAGTTGAAAAATATATTACGGGTGGCGTTTCACATTATGGTCGTACTTCTGCAAATCTCATCCACTCCATCTCACTGGCATCTCTAGCCATGTGCCACGAAGAGAAATGAGGGCCATGGCGCTGAAACGCCACCTTATAATATATGTCGTATTTAGTGCCGCGTTGTTGTTGTTGCTGATGGACGTGTTGAGTTTTTCACGAGAGAATTCATTTCGCCGAGTGTTATCCATGAAACGCGGCGAGAGCGTACCGTCGACTCGTCATCATCCCCCCTACCCCTCCCCCGAACGACAGAGACACGGCCGGTGAATGCAATGGATTGTGTGTGAGTAAGAAAAAACAAACCACACACACAAACCGAAGAAATAAATAAAAAGAGAGAATGCGCCAAACTCGAAGCTTGCTTTCCGATTGGCAGCGTCGTGAATTCCTTCAGCGTGAGCGATGAACGGCGAAGCCGGACTCAAAAAAAACAACTTTGCCAGGTTCATCCGCCAAACCGCCCTTCGTATTCACCGTTGGGCGTGGTGCGATCAGGCGGTGGCTACGCACGTGGTCGCTGGATCACCGCACACACACACACACCAACACACACGTGTTGTGAAACTCCCTTCCCGTGGGGTACCCATGGCTCGCCAGCAGAAGGCGGCACAGCAGGTGGACTGTTTCCAGAATATGTTTCCATCTGTACGGGGAATGGAGCGCTGCCCCCTCGCGCAAGGCGTGGACTTCCTCCGGCTGTCCCGATTTCCTTCCTCTTGTATAATAACACTGGTCAACACACTTTTTCTGGCATAAGGTATTCCAACGGTTTTAATGTAATTTTGGGGTGCTGATTCCAAATGTGGCATCAGTTTTTGTCTATCACGTCAGGTTTTTGAGATATCAAATATTGCATTTTCAATAAAAACTGCAGAAGAAAAATATTAAATAAATGTGGATATCTACATAAAATGATATTATAAACACACTATCCTAAAAATACAGCACCATATTTTAACACTAAAGCAGTCACTGACTCGCAACAACTTGCAATCATAAGTGACAGAGTTAATTTCGGGTAAAATCAATGAAAATGCGGTATGCTGATAGCATAAAAATGAGATGTGATAGAGCAAATCTGAGATCAGATTTTGAATCAGCACCCTGACATTAGTCTAAAACAGCCGCAAAAGTCCAGGCAAGAAAACAAATGTTTTTTTTTTGTTGACCAGTGTAATTGTACTGAACACAACTCGTAATTTAATGGGCTGAAGGCATCTTACAAGGTGCAGGACCCTCCTGAAAACGAGTCCTACAAGGCGGCGTGACTCTCCCGGATTAACGCGTCAGAGGAGAGGAGCACACGAAAGCTTTGATGTAGGATTTGAGGCTGGACCCGAGTGCGTGCATGGGAGGGGGGGGGGGTGTATTTGGATTGCAAGGCTGCGTAGGATCGAGCTGAGCGGCAGCCACGGCCTTTGGGGTTTCACGACCGCGCCTCGCAGCTCTTCCCCCCCCCCCCCCCCCCGGGGCATCCCGAAGCGCCGCTCGGCACGGCGCCCGACGATTCGCTTCACGTCCTCGGCGGGAAAGCGGAACGTCGGACGTCGGGCCGGAAGTAACGCGCGCGGGGGTGCGTCGGGTGCCCACCTCTGCCGTACCGAGAGAGATCGTGCGCACGCGTGTGTGTGTGTGTGCGTGTGCGCGCGTGTGCGCGCGTGTGTGCGCGTGTGCGCGCGCGTGTGCGCACGTGTGAGTGCGTGTTTGCGCGCGTGTGCGCGCGTGTGCGTGTGCGCGCGTGTGTGCGCGCGTGTGCGTGTGTGCGCGCGTGTGTGTGTGCGTGTGTGCGCACGTGTGAGTGCGTGTGTGCGCGCGTGCGTGTGTGTGCGCGCGTGTGCGCGCGTGTGTGTGTGCGTGTGTGCGCACGTGTGTGCGCGTGTGTGCGCGCGTGCGTGTGTGTGCGCGCGTGTGCGCGCGTGTGCGTGTGTGTGTGCGCGTGCGTGTGCGCGTGCGTGCGCGTGTGTGGGCGCAGTGCTGCCCCCCCCCCTCCCACCCTGTGTGCAGTGCCAGGTGCTCGCTAACGGCACTTGACTCAAAAGTTTGTCGAGGCTAAACGTTTTTTGTTGTTGTTTGGTCTTGTGCGTGTGCGCAAGACGCGGCTCGCGCTCGCGCCCAGCGGATGACCCAGACGGTTTCGTCCGAGCTCAGGGTCTGTAGCTCCAGTGTATCCTGTGTTTCTTTCCTAACGAAACAACAGGAGGGGAAATAAATCACAGAAGTCGGGGGCTGAGCTCCGGAAAACGTTTCTTTCACCACCCCCACCACCACCCGCTCTCGACGCCCAAGTGTGTAATGAGAGAGGAGGGAGTGAACTGCAGACGACAGGAGTTGTAACCGGGTCTTTGTGTACGTCTATAGGGATCTGTGTGAGTCTATGAGTCTCTGTGGGGTAATTAAACAAAATATGAATGGAAAATGCGACGTCCCGGGAAGACAGGAAACGAGGTTGTAAAATATAAAGTTGTAAAAATATGAAATAATTATGGGACGAAAAAAGGTATACGGTGCTGCCAGGGAGAATACGGCTCACCACGCTCACCACGCTCACCACACTCACCACGCTCACCACACTCACCACGCTCACCACACTCACCACGCTCACCACGCTCACCGCGCTCACCACGCTCACCGCGCTCACCACGCTCACCACGCTCACCACGCGCACCGCGCTCACCACGCTCACCACACTCACCACACTCACCGCGCTCACCACACTCACCACGCTCACCACGCTCACCACAATCACCACGCTCACCACGCTCACCGCGCTCACCACACTCACCGCGCTCACCACACTCACCACGCTCACCACGCTCACCACAATCACCACAATCACCACACTCACCACGCTCACCACGCTCACCGCGCTCACCACACGCACCGCGCTCACCACGCTCACCACACTCACCACACTCACCGCGCTCACCACACTCACCACGCTCACCACGCTCACCACGCTCACAACACGCACCGTGCTCACCACGCTCACCACACTCACCACGCTCACCACGCTCACCACACTCACCGCACTCACCACGATCACCACGCTCACAACACGCACCGTGCTCACCACGCTCACCACACTCACCACACTCACCACACTCACCACGCTCACCACACTCACCACGCTCACCACGCTCACCACGCTCACAACACGCACCGTGCTCACCACGCTCACCACACTCACCACACTCACCACGCTCACCACACTCACCACGCTCACCACGCTCACCACGCTCACCACAATCACCACACTCACCGCGCTCACCACGCTCACCACGCTCACCACACGCACCGTGCTCACCACGCTCACCACGCTCACCACACTCACCGCGCTCACCACGCTCACCACGCTCACCACACTCATCACACTCACCGCGCTCACCACGCTCACCACGCTCACCACGCTCACAACACGCACCGTGCTCACCACGCTCACCACACTCACCACGCTCACCACGCTCACCACGCTCACCACACGCACCACGCTCACCACGCTCACCACACGCACCGTGCTCACCACGCTCACCGCGCTCACCACGCTCACCACGCTCACCACGCGCACCACGCTCACCACGCTCACCACTCTCACCACGCTCACCACACTCACCACTCTCACCACACTCACCACACTCGCCAGGCTCACCACGCTCACCACACTCACCACGCTCACCACACTCACCACGCTCACCGCACTCACTGCGCTCACCACGCTCACCGCGCTCACCACGCTCACCGCACTCACCACACTCACCACGCTCACCACGCTCACCACGCTCACCACGCTCACCACGCTCACCAAACTGGCAGATGAATCTGTTGCGGGAGCGGCAGGGGCGGTCGTTCCAATTGAAGCCAGACTCGGCGTGCATCACCACACAGTTGCCGAACCTAAACGCAAACAACCGCACGGCGGGACTTTACAAATCTCGACTGCAAACCTATTTCTTAAATAACTGCTTGTTGTTGTTGTGTTTAGTTCGTTGTCCTTCCCCCGCACCTCCGATGAACACGGTTGTTTACGTACGGTGTGAAAGAACGTCAACATACGTGCATATGAAGTCGTTTTAAACGAAGCATATGGAGTTCGGTCCGTTCCGCGATGATTCAGTGCCGGAGAGGTCCAACTCTCGTTATAACTTCTGCAAGCGTCGGGGGTTTGGCAGCATGTCAGGGTTTGGCAGCGTGCACAGTGATTTAGTGATTTGGATTAGATTCAAAATTGGACGGGTGGCTTATAGGGCAAGCAGCTGGTGCTACTGCTGAGTTCCTGAGTCCCATTCCAGGTAGCCGCCCCTACAGTGACTAGGAGCACTCCCTTTAAGAGTGTGCTCCTAATCTCAGCTCGTTGCCTGTATAAAAGACACCTGGGAGCCAGAAATCTTTCTGATTGAGAGGGGGTCAAATACTTATTTCCCTCATTAAAATGCAAATCAATTTATAACATTTTTGACATGCGTTTTTATGAAATTTGTTGTTGTTATTCTGTCTCTCACTGTTCAAATAAACATACCATTAAAATTATAGACTGATCATTTCTTTGTCAGTGGGCAAACGTACAAAATCAGCAGGGGATCAAATACTTTTTTCCCTCACTGTACACTTGAGAATCCAGAACTTGCGATTCTGGACAATACAAAATAACTGGAATTCTCTTGTGCAGTAGTGAGTTGATGGGCTCAAACTGCACGAAATTTGGCTAAATTCCAACTGCCAAACCCACGTATCTACTCACCCATTTTTAAATCCTTTATATTAAGTTCGCTTGCTTGCTTAGGACCGTGCAAATCTTTCGGTCGTTTTTTAACCCACTTCCCTTGATCCAATCGAGCTGACATTTTCCACACAGACTCGTTGTGCGTGACAATTAATGTTCGTGAAATTTTTTTCTCCAAAATGTTACACTTTTTAGGACAAAAATATAATATTTAATTACCAATTGCTTAATGGTGCAATGCAATCATCTGACCCACAGGTGGCAGCCATCTCAAGCCAGAGGACGAGATGACTAGCCGCCACGCATATAAAGGATTTATATTGAAAAACTTTTTTTTACGGGTTATACTTATTGGAAGTTTTTCGCCGGAAACAAACGGCAATGAAATGTAGGAGGTGTTAAAGTGTTCAGACACCAAATAGACACCTGTCGCCAGGCATGCCTGTGGTTAAACATGCGTGCAAACGTGCTTTGGTACTCTAAGGCATTGTCTTTGAAACTGATTGGCCTACACAAGAGACAGCCACTCGTACGGCTTCGTCTCGCCAGTGTCAGACCAGAGAACGCCAAAAGGCGAACAGCACAGAGGCAACGCACAATATCAAAGCAATCATCGTGGCGCGTGTTTGAGCAGTCATAATTGCCAGTTGCAATCGGTACCCGCACACAATGGTACCGCAAAACAAAACTACGTTTTCGGATTCGAAACATCGTACCTTAGACCCCCTGATTTGGGTGATTGATTTTTGTTGTTTCGTTGTTAATCCCAAAAATATGTCAAGAGAGCACCCCCCCCAACCCCCCAAACCCCCCTCATGCTCGCTCCGGGTTGTTCTCACCCGTGGCTGTCCGGCTGTCCCAAGGCGAAGCTGCTGAAGTTGACGGCTCTCCCGTCGTCCCAGCGGAAGACGCCTTTAGACACCTTGTAGGTGAGACCTGACGGACGTGAACACGGCCAGAGTTAAACTATCGGTCAATTAATATCGGCCCGCTTTTCCGGAACTGAATCGGGTCGCGGGGGCAGCGACTCCAGCAAGGCCTTCCACATCCTGCCGTGTCCTCCGCCAGCGGCATCAACCGTAGCTACCGGATCGCCGGTCTCTCCTTCAGCCAGGCGCACCACCGCCCCGGTCTCTCCAGGGCAATCGCGACCGGCCTCTGGGTCTTTTGCTTGGAGGACGTCATTCAAACGTATTCCGGAATCCTTAGCAGACGACCCATCCATCGTAGCTGGCTTCACGCTCAATAGTGCCGACTGGACTTGGAGTCTTTGGTGGATAGCCGCGATTCTCACCCGATCCCGAAGAGAGAGAGCCCTGCCACCGTGCGCAGAAAGCCAATTTCTGTTGCTTGCACCCTTGAGCGTGTCCTTTCCGTCAGGATCCAGGTTTCGTGCCCGTAGGTCACGTTCGGGACGAATATTGACCGGTAGACCGAGAGGTTTGCCTGAAGGCTCAGCTCCCGTCTTGAGACCACGGGAGTTAAACTATGAACTAAACAACTTGTTTATATTTTATCAGGTAAAGTCCACTGAGCTGGAAAACTCTTTTTACAGAAGTGCCTTGGCTATCACAAATAATGACAGCTCAACGAATCGGTGTATCGTGTGGAAATGTATAAAGGCTCGTTGATTCCAGGGGCGGTTTCTTCATTAGGGGGATTGGGCGACGCACCACCAATGTCATTCAACCACAGAGTCACGCTAGCCGTCACTGTCAGCCTCTGGATATAGTCCAATCAGCGTCATGTCACGTTCTGTGGAGTACCGCCTCTTTTTGGGCGATTTCACTCCGGCTGAGAATCGCCCCGAGTGGCCCCATAGACTTACATTCAAAGATGTTTTTTTTCGAACGGGGGCGCTGCAATGTATTCTCTATGGCTTCCGGGAGGGCTCGCCCTAACGTGCTTACGTCATCATACGTGCTTACGTCATCATACGTAAGCACGTTTCATCCAACAATACAATGTATCGCTACCTAGTGGAATCTTTAATAAAATAAACTTGAGTGGTTTGTTTTAATAGTGAGTATATAAACAAACAAGATGTATTGTAAGAGTCACTTTATTTTTCATTAATATTAAAGAAGTGAAGTTGCCTTTACATGCTTAAGCTGTTAATTTATTCATTGCATGGGTGGACCTTATCCTTATCAATCATCCAGACATTTGCCCCCCCTGAGAGATTTTGCCGCCACTGGTTGATTCTTAATACGGAGAGAAAAGTCGGAGGACCCGGAGAAAAATCCACGCGACCGCGGAGAGAGATAGACACGCAATCTCCAAAAAAACAGGCGTCAGGGTCGGGATCGAACCCACGACCTCCTGTATACCCGGCAAGGTAGTTAACATCTCGCCACCGCAGCACCAGTTATGCAGCTTTGCCCCCTGGGTTACCAGGGGCAGAACATATTCCCAATTTTTCCCAATCCACCGTCTATCCGATCCGAAGACGATGACGATTTTGTAGCGTGGGAGTTCTGGGGGGGGGGGGGAGGGGGTGGGGGGAGGTGAATCACAGAGCGGGCACGCGTGATCACCTATCCAGAATTTGTAGCGTGGGAGTTCTGGGAGGGGGGGGGGGGAAGGGGGTGAATCACGTAGCGGGCGTGCGTGATCACCTATCCAGAAGCTGTTAGACTCGGGCTCCAGGCCCGTGACGTCGTTGCTGTCGGTGGCCCTGAGCAGGTAGAAGGAAAGGAGGTCCTGCTCCCGCTGGCTCTCGATCTGCACCAGGGTCCCACCTCGTCCCTGCGCTCGCCAAAACACGGGAAGAAGACGACGGCAAGAAGAAAAAAAACGAAGCGGGTTCGAACGGAAAACGACGCGACACAGAGCGTGGCCTTAAAAGTATGATGGGTGACGTTTCGGGTGACGGCCCTTCTTCGTGACCTGATAAAAGACGGTTACCGCATCGTGTGCTTTCACACGTCTGGAACGTTCTTCCAATATTAGGAAGCCACTTGAGTTATATACTTCTAAATCTAGATTGAAAACTAGTTTCTTTAGAACTGCTTTTTGAGTTTAGTTTGTTGTCCTTCCCCTGCACCTCCGATTATCGCCGTTGGCCACGTACGGTGCGAAAGAAGTTCAACATACATACATGGCACATCGTGTGCCATAAACGGGTGTGCTATGAAGCAGAGCCAATGTCCGTTATACATCATGTCCTGCTAAGGCCACGCGCGGAGTTATTGACAAACGGATTGGCCGTCTTCTCCGTATGAGCACTGCGAGTTACCCTGGGGGAGGGGGGGGCGACTCCTGTCCCTTCACCCACTAACGACTCACTTCACCGTGTCACCCACCCACCCCTGCACTCACCACTTCACCCACCCCTGCACCCACCCCTGTACCCACCCCTGCACCCACCGCTGCACCCACCCCTGTACCCACCCCTGCAGCCACCCCTGCACCCACCCCTGTACCCACCCCTGCAGCCACCCCTGCACCCACCCCTGCAGCCACCCCTGCACCCACCACTTCACCCACCCCTGCACCCACCCCTGCACCCACCCCTGCACCCACCCCTGTACCCACCCCTGCAGCCACCCCTGTACCCACCCCTGCAGCCACCCCTGTACCCACCCCTGCAGCCAACCCTGTACCCACCCCTGCACCCACCCCTGTACCCACCCCTGCAGCCACCCCTGTACCCACCCCTGCAGCCACCCCTGCACCCACCCCTGCACCCACCCCTGCACCCACCCCTGCACCCACCCCTGCACCCACCCCTGCACCCACCCCTACACCCACCCTGCACCCACCACTTCACCCACCACTTCACCCACCCCTGCACCCACCCCTGCACCCACCCCTGCACCCACCACTTCACCCACCCCTGCACCCACCCCTGCACCCACCACTTCACCCACCACTTCACCCACCCCTGCACCCACCCCTGCACCCACCCCTGCACCCACCACTTCACCCACCACTTCACCCACCCCTGCACCCACCCCTGCACCCACCCCTACACCCACCCCTGCACCCACCACTTCACCCACCCCTGCACCCACCACTTCACCCACCACTTCACCCACCCCTGCACCCACCCCTGTACCCACCCCTGCACCCACCCCTGCACCCACCCCTACACCCACCCCTGCACCCACCACTTCACCCACCCCTGCACCCACCACTTCACCCACCACTTCACCCACCCCTGCACCCACCCCTGCACCCACCACTTCACCCACCCCTGCACCCACCCCTGCACCCACCCCTGCACCCACCCCTGCACCCACCCCTGCACCCACCCCTGCACCCACCCCTGCACCCACCCCTGCACCCACCACTTCACCCACCCCTGCACCCACCACTTCACCCACCCCTGCACCCACCCCTGCACCCACCCCTGCACCCACCCCTGCACCCACCACTTCACCCACCCCTGTACCCACCCCTACACCCACCCCTGCACCCACCCCTGCACCCACCCCTACACCCACCCCTGCACCCACCACTTCACCCACCCCTGCACCCACCCCTGCACCCACCCCTGCACCCACCCCTGCACCCACCACTTCACCCACCCCTGTACCCACCCCTACACCCACCCCTGCACCCACCCCTACACCCACCCCTGCACCCACCCCTGCACCCACCCCTGCACCCACCACTTCACCCACCCCTGCACCCACCACTTCACCCACCCCTGCACCCACCCCTGCACCCACCACTTCACCCACCACTTCACCCACCCCTACACCCACCCCTGCACCCACCCCTGCACCCACCCCTGCACCCACCCCTGCACCCACCCCTGCACCCACCCCTGCACCCACCACTTCACCCACCCCTACACCCACCCCTGCACCCACCCCTGTACCCACCACTTCACCCACCCCTGCACCCACCCCTGCACCCACCCCTGCACCCACCCCTGCACCCACCACTTCACCCACCCCTGCACCCACCCCTGCACCCACCCTTGCACCCACCCCTACACCCACCCCTGCACCCACCACTTCACCCACCACTTCACCCACCCCTGCACCCACCCCTGCACCCACCCCTGCACCCACCACTTCACCCACCCCTGCACCCACCACTTCACCCACCCCTGCACCCACCCCTACACCCACCCCTGCACCCACCACTTCACCCACCACTTCACCCACCCCTGCACCCACCCCTGCACCCACCCCTGCACCCACCACTTCACCCACCCCTGCACCCACCCCTGCACCCACCCCTGCACCCACCACTTCACCCACCACTTCACCCACCCCTGCACCCACCCCTGCACCCACCCCTGCACCCACCACTTCACCCACCCCTGCACCCACCCCTGCACCCACCCCTGCACCCACCCCTGCACCCACCCCTGCACCCACCCCTGCACCCACCACTTCACCCACGGACCACCCATTCCTTCACTCATCCGCCCGCCCATGTATTCCCCGCGGTCGCGTGGATTTTTTTTCTCTCGGGGTTTTTCCTCCACATTTAGAAAACGTGCGTTTAGACTGTTCAGATTATTTTGCTGCTATACATGTCCAAATAATAAGCCACTTTGTTGGGCTATCATTTGTGGCCAGCTCGCTTTAGCAATATACGTTAATACTCTTTGGTTCTTTCGGTATAGTCACGTAGAAAGGAAATAAATTAAATAATTTAATACGACGTGTCGATTGCAACACAAGCAGTCGTCATTAGGTAGAATTAAATTTGAGAGAGAGACAAAACACAGACACGGAGACACACAGACAGACACAGAACTCTGTGTGTCTATGTTGTGTGTCTCTCTCTCTGTGTGTCTCTGTGTTGTCTCTCTCTCTGCTTGTGTGTCTGTCTGTGTGTCTCCGTGTTTTGTCTCTCTCTCACATTTAGTTATACCTGATGACGATTGCTTGTGTTGCAATCGAAACGTCGTACTTTAATATTTAATTTATTTTCTTTCTACGTGACTTTACCGAAAGAACCAAAGAGTAATTCCTGCGGTCACGAAAGCTTCAAATCAAGATAAGTTAATACCTCAGTGGGCTTTGCCTGGTTGGGATGATGATAGTTCAGTGTCATTTGTGCGTGCGTTTGGGTGATTTGTTTACCTTTATTGTACTTTGCACTCCTATCGCGTTTGTTGTGATAGCTTCGCAAAAAAAGGGCCTATCGATTTGGGCCAGACACATCAGCCAAAAAAAATCTAAAGAGTCTAAAAAACTCACGGCAGGACGTCAACAAGCGGTACGACCCCCAAAACAACACAGGAGGAGAGGGGGGGGTGGTAGAGGGGGGGGGCGGCGTCGCTACCTGGCACTGGTTGCGCGCCGTGTAGAACGTCTCGCTGTCGTCCGATACGGAGAGGCAGTCGTCCTCCACACGCAGCGCGCAGCTGTGGTACGGGAACTCCGCTCGCTCTGCGACACGTGGGGGAGTGGGAGGAGGAGGAGGAGAGGCAACAGCCGACAACGCGCGGCCCCCTGAGTCGGCAGGCGGGCCGGAAAGGTGCCGCAGCCCGAAACGTCGCCTCTCTTCTTATCGTTGTTGTGGACAAAGATAAACAACAAGAAGAAAAAAAAACTCCGTATAAAAATGTAAAATGAGAGCAAAAAAAGCGATGTGTGCTCGACACGTGTTGGGTTTTTGTTGTTGTTGATGTTGTTGTTGTTGTGTGTGTGTGTGAATCGCCAGGGCATTTCTAAGAGACGCGGGACTCCAGCGAGGTATTCCACATGGCCAGAGAGTCCACAAGGTTACGAATTAGCGATGAAATTGTCGGTGTGGGACATCGTAAGTCGCTCACACAAGACAGATACTCGCCCATCGAGTGTCGGACGCTTGTGAACCAACAGCAAATAAAGTCATGGGTTCGATCGCCAACTCGGGTGCCTCTCCCGAGTTAGTGCGTCGTGTGTTCTTTCCGTGTTCTGCATGGGGTTCCTTCAGACTTCTCCGGTTTCCTCCTATAGCTAAAACAAACCTCGAGTGCAGTGTTCTTCACTCATTTTCAGAGGAGGGGGGAGGGGAGGCTACTTTCGCCGATAAGACACCACGTCAGCGCGTGAGGGCCGCCACACATTTGCAACCATTGGGGGTTTGACAGCAGCACGATGACCACGTGGGGTGTTTTCACTGTTTGTTTTTTGTCGAGGGGGGCCGCGCTCAAGGCCACCAGGGACCGCCACTGCTACGGTGTAACTGCTATTGTCCAAGCATCTTCTCAGGTTTTTTTCGGTAAAGTCACGTAGGCAAAAATTTTTAATTAATAAAAGTAAAATAAAACTAATTTAAAAAATTCACGACGTTTCGGAAGCAACACAAGCCTCCGTCTTCAGGTGGAACCGTCACAGCCACGACAGCTGTATCAAGTAAATGAGAGATCACAAGAAATACTACCACGTATATATAATGGCTGAGGGGGGAAGGGCCAGGAACGGCACACTTTTTTATTAATATGGTAAGGTGAGGCTTAAGATTAAGAGTAGACTGCATAACAAAGGACTGCTATTGTCCAAGCATCCCAATGCTGAAAAAATGGCACTGCAAATTACTCAATTGGCATCACCAACAACAACAACAACCGCCAGTCGCCACTAAGTGGCAGCGACGTCACCAAGGCGCTTGTACCAGGCTAGGTGCACGTTAAGGCCACGTGAAGTGTCGAACGCCCGCTGGCAGGAGGTCACGGGACAGACCCAGCAGGTGCCATTGGTTGACTGAGATGACTGGCTGATGCACCACATGTGCCCCTCTACTGTGCCAACTTGGCATCAAAACAAATATCCCCCTTGTAGCCTGTAACAGACTATTGGGGCAAGTGCTGTTAGCGAGCACATATGAAGGCCGGCACGGCACACGAGGGTGTGAGTGGCCAGCACCACGCACGATCACCTTTGCCTTACTAGTGGCGATGTTTACATACCAAACCAGGTACTCATTTTAGGCCGAGTCGATCTAGGGGAGGCCCAGGACCGGTTCTGATAATCGTCACTGGTGTTGGCCGTGAGCAGGAATCCAACTCGGGTCGCCGGATTCGTCGAACAGGTCGCGAACCGCGACACCAACGCCCACCACTCACGGAAACATCGCCCCCTACTGCGAACACAAACTTGGTCCGAAAAAAAGTCCGAGACTTTCCCGAGGCGAAGCAGTGTAATAATAGGACGTACTAATAAGTCCTCTTCCTCTTGTGTAAATAGAACACATGTTGTCATTTAAAGCTTTCTTGACTGCAGGGATTCATATTATTGGTTCTTTCGGTAAAGTCACGTAGAAGGGAAATAATAAAATAATAAAAATATAAAACAATAAAATTCTCACGACGTTTCGACTGCAACACAAGCAATCATCATCAGGTGTGAAAAACACACTAATTTTCTTGCTGTGTTTTCACACCTGATGATGATTGCTTGTGCTGCAGTCGAAACGTCGTGAGAATTTTACTGTTTTATATTTGGATTATTTTATTATTTCCCTTCTACGTGACTTTACCGAAAGAACCAAGAATAAGAACACATGTTGTTGTTGTTGTTAACGTTGTCGACCGCTCCCCTATTGCTGTGACGTGTGAAGCACCATGCTTGCGTCACTCCGTGTCGTTCTGCGTCGCAGACCAATCACGTAGCCGTAATTGTTCGCCAAGACCCCGCACCGTTGCAGCAACGTCCGTACCACGTGGCAGGACGCCAATGAAATAACAAGATCACCCGGGGCCTTCCTCCTCAAAAAACAAAAACACAATGATGTCGATCTAATCCCCTAGGGGAGAACTGGCGTGACGAGAGGCTTCACCTGCACAGGTGAGCCCTCCGTAGCCCAGGTCACAGACGCACGAGCACTCCTCCTCCCTGTACCGTCCGTGCACGCACGGGTAGGAGCACTTCACTGAAAGACAAACAACAACAACAACAACATCCACGACGCCTTCACACAGTCTCATTGGTGTCGGGGTCAAACGTCCCAACGCTGTTGGAAATTACTCCATTGGGATTGGTCGCATGCAGGAGGTGGCATCCGTGTGGAGCTCTTTACAAATCCAGCCCCCCCCCACCTTCATCCGTGGGAGAGGTCGGGGAGGGAGGTGCTGGAGATGGGGGTGGTGGAGAGGTGGGGGTGGTGGGAGAGGTGGGGGTGGTGGGAGAGGTGGCGATGGTGGCAGAGGTGGGGGTGGTGGGAGAGGTGGGGGTGGTAGGAGAGGTGGGGGTGGTGGCAGAGGTGGGGGTGGTGGCAGAGGTGGGGGTGGTGGGAGAGGTGGGGGTGGTGGGAGAGGTGGGGGTGGTGGGAGAGGTGGGGGTGGTGGGAGAGGAGGCGGTGGTGGGAGAGGAGGCGGTGGTGGGAGAGGTGGGGGTGGTGGGAGAGATGGGGGTGGTGGGAGAGGTGGGGGTGGTGGGAGAGGTGGGGGTGGTGGGAGAGGAGGCGGTGGTGGGAGAGGAGGCGGTGGTGGGAGAGGTGGGGGTGGTGGGAGAGATGGGGCTGGTGGGAGAGGTGGGGGTGGTGGGAGAGGTGGGGGTGGTGGGAGAGGTGGGGGTGGTGGGAGAGATGGGGGTGGTGGGAGAGGTGGGGGTGGTGGCAGAGGTGGGGGTGGTGGGAGAGGTGGGGGTGGTGGCAGAGGTGGGGGTGGTGGGAGTGGTGCGGGTGGTGTGAGAGGTGGGGGTGGTGGGAGAGGTGGGGGTGGTGTGAGAGGTGGGGGTGGCGGGGTGAGAGGTGTGGGAGGTGTAGGAGGTGGGCGAGGTGGATGGGGGAGAGGAGGCGGTGGTAGGGAGGGTGGTGTGGGTCCTCACCCTGGCAGTATTTCCCAGAGAAGCCGGACGCACAGCTGCACCTGCAGCTCGACGAGTCCAGGTGGCCGTGGCGCCCGCAGTTCATCCGGCAGCGGTTCTGCGGCACCTCTGCGGAGACGGCGCCGTGGCAACCTTCGCTTAGACGCGTTGCGCGCTCACGAATGTGCTTACTCGTGAGCGGAGAATGAGCGGGGAGAGAGCGTAGAATGAGCGGAGAAGGAGAGAGTTTAGTGGAGAGTGAGTGGAAATGAGTAGAGAATGGCGGAAACATGAATGGCGAATTGAGTGGAAAACGAGTGAATGCGTGGAAAACGAGGGAATGGGTGTAAAACGAGGGAATGGGTGGAAAACGAGGGGTTGCGTGGAAAACGAGGGAATGTGTGGAAAACGAGGGGTGCGTGGAAAACGAGGGAATGGGTGGAAAACGAGGGGGTGCGTGGAAAACGAGGGAATGGGTGGAAAACGAGGGAATGTGTGCAAAACGAGGGGTGCGTGGAAAACGAGGGAATGGGTGGAAAACGAGGGGGTGCGTGGAAAACGAGGGAATGGGTGGAAAACGAGGGAATTGGTGGAAAACGAGGGGTGCGTGGAAAACGAGGGAATGGGTGGAAAACGAGGGAATTGGTGGAAAACGAGGGGTGCGTGGAAAACGAGGGAATGGGTGGAAAACGAGGGGTGCGTGGAAAACGAGGGAATGTGTGGGAAACGAGGGAATTGGTGGAAAACGAGGGAATTGGTGGAAAACGAGGGGTGCGTAGAAAACGATGGAATGGGTGGAAAACGAGGGGGTACGTGGAAAACGAGGGAATGAGTGGGAAACGAGTGGAGAAGATACGTACTGGATGTGTGTTGAACCTCTTTCACATCGTACATAGCCAACCGTGCTAATCGGTGATGCGGGAACTTTGCATCAAAGTTCCGATTGCATTGTGAAGACTGACAGAGAGACCAGACACAGCTTTTACATTAACCCGTTTCAGTCCCCAGCAAAGTGTTGCCCAAGCACACATTAACAAATTAACCTCAACACGTGCCCCAGCTTGTCGTCAACATTCGTTATAAAGCATTAATAATAATGCTAAAGGGCTGCCGGTTAGAGACAGAGAGAGTAGAGGGGGTGGGGGGAACACCAAAAGATTGAAGGAAAGGGTGACGTTGGGCACAGAGAAAGAGAGACGCAGCCACACGTGACTTCACTTTTACTCCGCACGTCCCGGGAGATTCATCGTTAGAAGACAGAAGCCAAGAAACAATGAACAAGCAACAACAACAACAATCTAACCAGCAACAATAGCAGCAGCACAACGGTCAAGCTGCAAGGCTTCTTAGACGCAACCGCACGTCATTTATCCAGGAGAGCGTCAACGGGTCCCATTGCCAAAGTTCGGGTCGTTCCGTATCGACGACCTGCGGCTGCAAGAGTCAGCATTGAATAACCCACTAAGTGGCAGTCCATAAATGACGTCACGCGATTTTGGACGAGTTTTGACCCCCCCACCCCCACCCCTCGTCACACGGCGTCACAAAAAGTCAGACCCCCCCCCCCCTCAAATATGACGTCACAAAGCTCTGCCCCCCCCCCCCTCCCAAAAAAATTTAACATGCTCCAAATCTTAGTTCTTTCGGTAAAGTCACGTAGGTAAAAATATGAAGTTAAAATTATTAAAAATAAAATAATAAAATCACGACGTTTCGGAGGCAACACAAGTCTCCGTCATCAGGTGGGACCGTCACTTGATGCAGCAAATCTGGCTGTGACGGTCCCACTTGATGACGGAGACTTGTGTTGCCTCTGAAACGTCGTGATTTTATTATTTTATTTTTATTAACTTAAGTTTTTTACCTACGTGACTTTACCGAAAGAACTAAGAGTATGAATCCTTGCAGTCACTAAAGCTTCAAATCTAGAATGCTTCAAATCACTTTAAACTCATGTCATTGTAGTGCGTATTTAATGTGCCGCTGCATTCTGATGCTGTAGGAGAAAACATTTATTAAAAAGTATATTTAATTAAGTAGAACGTGTTGTCTATATCTTCTTGTTTCTTTCGGTAAAGTCACGTAGAAGGGAAGTAATAAAATAATAAAAATAAAACATAATAGAACAATTCTCACGACGTTTCGGCTACAACGCAAGCAGCCGTCTTCAGGTGAAGAATGAGACACTACCAAACTAGGAGCTTATATATAAGCTGCATTGGGGGTTGAAGAGCGCCTTAACAAAAAGAATGTGCATGTGAAGAGGGATTTAGCATATTCATGGAAAATGCGTAGGCGTTGGGCGGGGGGGTGTCAAAGTCATATTATGCCCATGCATTATGCAGGATCAGCAGCAACCAAGGGGGGTGCAGGGATTAGCAGTAACAAAGGAAAGGAATGTTAATGATATGTAGCTGCAGTTACTCAACAACCACGTAGAAAACTAAAGTATAAACTACATAAAAAACTAAAGTATAAACTGCATCGCACCATCAGTATACTTACTATACTCTATAATAAGCTGAGTTACTAACAGCAAGTAATACATTACAATTTTACCTCGTAAAAATTCTATAATATGCTTCCATCTAAACCTTATTCTCTTACATCACACGAGCATATACCGTACTATATACTGCCATAGATAAACCCAACATTAAATTATATACTGTATTGCTGTAAACCAACCTATATCTTATACATTTAATATCACACTATGTATTATTCTACACACCCTAATGTGTATCGAAATGGTTTATTACGTCCTTCCAATGATTGCTGAGCCAGAATCCATCTTCTCGGTTAAAGTTGTCTCTGTGTTTGTATATGTGGATCGCCTCATGAACGAATCTCTCATGATAGCCAGATGGCTTGCAGAGAACCTCTGTCTTGGAGAAGTCAATATCATGTGAGCCCACTGAGTTGTAACAGTGATCTGCCACGGCTGAGGTGTTAGTCCTACCGTGTTTCAGGTCAGCTTTATGTTCACGGATGCGGTCCGAGACATGTCGTTTGGTTTCCCCAATGTAACTGCTACCACAGAGGAAACTTAGTTTGTAGACGCCAGGGTACTGTATGTCTGGAACCACATCTTTTACAGACGGTACCAGATCACGGATTTTATGTACTGTGTTGAATCGGACCTGGATCTTGTGTTTAATCAGGATTTTGGAGATCTTTTTTGTGACCCCAGCAATGTAGGGTAAGGTGATGGTCTTGAAAGGCTCCTCAACAGGATCCTTCTTGATGGTCGGAGTGATGGCTTTGCGGATTGTATAGTCGGAGTAACCATTTGCCTTAAGAGCTTGGCGTACGTGTTTGAGTTCACTGGAAATGTGTTCATGGTCGGAGATGCATTGGGCTCTATGATATAGAGTCTTGATGAGGGAATTCTTCTGAGATGGATGGTGGTGGGAATCCGGTTTTAGATAAGCATCCGTGTGGGTGGCTTTCCTGTAGACAGAGTGGCTCATTGAACCATCAGGTCTCCTTTTGATTAGGACATCCAAAAAGGGTAGCTTGCCATCATTTTCGACTTCCATGGTGAATCTGATGGCTGGGTGTATGGAATTGATGTGGTCGAGAAATTGGTCTAGAGCAGGCCGGCCATGTGGCCAGATGACAAAAGTGTCGTCTACGTACCTCTTCCATAAGGTCGGGCGTAGAGTGGAAGTCTGGATGGCGTCAGTCTCAAATTTCTCCATGAAGATGTTGGCTACAACCGGAGATAGGGGGGAGCCCATTGGGGTGCCCTCAATTTGCTTGTAGAAGGTTCCATTCCAGGTGAAGTATGTATTGGTTAAGCAGTGTCTCACCAGGGGGGGTACCCCAGCATTCAGTCCTTGATGAACCAAGTCTTCAATGATTGCGATGGTGTCAGGCACAGGTACCTTGGTGAACAAGGAAACCACATCAAAACTGACAAGCAGGTCGTCTGGGGACAGGGCAATCCCCTTGATTGTCGATACCAGGTCAGTAGAGTTTAGTACTGCAGAGGTGGTTTTTCCAGTGAAAGGCCGTAGGATTTCGGACAAAAAACGAGCCAGTTTGTAAGTGGGGGAGTTGATAGTAGAGACAATGGGACGAAGAGGTGTATCTTCTTTATGTATTTTTGGCAAGCCGTACAATCTTGGTGGTCTGGCTGCAGAAGGTTTCAACGAGAACTGTTTGGTCAGATCAATTAATGCGGTTGAAGCAGAAATGATGTTGTTGGTTTTGGAGACGAGGCTGTTGGTGGGGTCTCTTTTTATTTTTGTATAGCTGCCATCGTTTAGTAGTTCTTGAATTTTGTTGTTGTATTCTATTTTGTCCATGATGACAGTGGCATTGCCTTTGTCGGCTGAGAGGATGACAATGTCATCCCTCTTTTTTAATTGAGCTAATTCAAAACGCTCCTCTTTGCTGATGTTGCTAGCTGGCATCTTAGCGTTTTGTCTATATTTATTTAAAGTTGCGCATTTTTATGTGATGTCACATTTCTCAACCCCCCCCTCTCGTCACGCATCGTCACAAATGTCTGACCCCCCCCCCCCCCCCTGTGTGACGTAATTTATGGACGGCCCCTTATGCTTCGGTGTTTGAGTTTCAGTATGCAGCAGTCTGGAACTATGTTCTGGGAATTATTGTTTGCCAGGTCAGCAAACGTCTCGGCTAATTTTGTAATTATATATACGTGGGTGTGTGTGTCTTTCCATAGTGCGCCAGTCATTGAATGGTTACAAAGCGCTGTTCGTGTGAAAATTTTCAACGCTCCGTACAATCATTGCAATATTCAAGGCACAATAGACGTTTGCATATATGCAAATGATCACAAATATACACGTTTTTTCATGATGGCTCATGCATATACACGTATATATAATCCTATTCAAAGCATTATATCAATACAAGGTACAATAACGTGGACTTATTTTGGATGGGCGTGCCCTGATGCAATGCACCATATACGTTTGTATATACAGTATTAAAACATGTGTTGAGTAGTTCCGACGGACGTACTCGTAGACGGAGGTTAGTTAAGGGTTTCCGTCAGGGTTTATTAACGCTTATCAATATTACACAGCAGGGTACACAACTCCCAGGGGCTAGGGGGGTCCTACTCTGAGTCCGGGTCCCTGCCGGCTAGCTCCGGTCTCTCTCTCTCTCGTGTCGGATCGTGGACTCTGCCGACTCCACCGAGCGGAAAGAGAAGCACCTCTACGGCTACCACCGGCTTCTCCCCAGACTCACTACTCGATCCCTCTCTCTACCCCTGGTTCCCTCTTCACCCTGTTTACTTTACCCGTTCCCACAGTGACCCCGCTTACGTCACGGGGTATGCCTTAAGTACCATAGGAGACGTGACGTCATCGCACTGAACGACACACCTGACGTCACGTCCCCATTTTACTCCTCTACACATTTATAAGCACACGCGTAAATATAAATGTGTCGTAAATGTGCCCCTGCTTCAGGCAGTGGCGGCTCCTGCAAAATCTCTCAGGGGGGGGCAAATGTCTGGATGATTGATAAGGATAAGGTCCACCCATGCAATGGATAAATTAACAGCTTAAGCATGTAAAGGCAACTTCACTTCTTTAATATTAATGCAAAATAAAGTGACTCTTACAATACATATTGTTTGTTTCTGTACTCACTATTAATACAATCCACTCAAGTTTCTTTTATTAAAGATTCCACTAGGTGGCGACAAATTATATTGTTGGATGAAACGTGCTTACGTATGATGACGTAAGCACGTTAGTGCGAGCCCTCCCGGAAGCCATAGATAATGCATTGCAGAGCCCCCCGGTCGAAAAAAAACATCTTTGAATGTAAGTCTATGGGGCCACTCGGGGCGATTCTCAGCCGGAGTGAAATCGCCCAAAAAGAGGCGGTACTCCACAGAACGTGACATGACGCTGATTGGACTATATCCAGAGGCACAGTGACGGCTAGCGTGACTCTGTGGTTGAATGACATTGGTGGTGCGTCGCCCAATCGCCCTAATGAAGAAACCGCCCCTGGCTTCAGGTCACCCAACGCCTGCCCCAGGCTCACGTCAACCAGCGCCCCTTGCTCACCGCACAGGCCACCTGCGCCCTGGTGCTTGAAGCAGCCGGACTTGACGGAGGTGCAGAGCGAGCACCAGTCTCCCGCCTTGTAGGGAGCGATCGTCTTGCCGTCCAGAAGCCAGTTTCCTCTGCCGGGGATCAAAGCGAACTCAGTCAAACGAGCGGGTGGGTACGAGCGAGCCCGACGGCCACTTGAATCGCAGGTTGCCTTGAAGGCGAAGAGACGTTGGACTTGGGATATTTAGAGGCGAGCGAAATGACGAACACGTGGCCGGGTGTCAAAAGGTCAGATTTGTGAACACCTGGAGGAAATGATCTTGGCAACAATATTGCACTGGGCGAGGGAAGTTAATTGGTCAGGGCGGGTATGTGACGGTGGTTCCACAAAACCAGAATCAAAATCTGAATATTGAGAGTGGAGGAATCCGATGAGCTATAACGCTCTTGTGTTTTAGCAGATGTCCAGTAGGTGAACTGTTGATTGCACACCTTGACGCGGATTCTGAGCGAACGCATGCTTAGCACACGCAAGCCCGGCATTGTGGTATTGTTGCAGTAATCAAGGGTAGTTATTGAGAGCGGTGGTGCCCAAGAATTTGACTCAGTCAGGGTCGGGGGGGGGGCTTGCTCCCAACTTATTGACTGTGGATAACATTCCACACGCAGAGCGCTACCCACCCTGGTGAGCCACTGGGTGGCAGTGTCGGTCCGTTACTACGCTCGACGCGAACACGGCCTTTTCGCCGGGAAGTTGGTGGTGGCGATGCACGTGGCCTGGAATCCAGCACTGTTGGAAGCGAGGATTGGGGGTATCACGTGACCAACGTTTTGAAACTCCCTTACCCGCGGGCATCGAGGTGGTGACATAACCTGGCTCTCTAAGAGAAGGCGGTACAGCAATATGTGTACTCCACCTGTTCCGTCTGCACGGGATACGGTGTTTCCCCCTCGCACGCGTGGATTTTCTCCTCCCACGTGGCCACACCTCGCAACCCCACACCTACGACAACCTGGCAAGTCCTGGTGGTGGTGGTCCCCCCATCCAAAACACTAACCAGGCTCGACCCCTGCTTAGCTGTTGAGATTCGTCGCATTCAGGTTGATTTGGTTGTAGGAGAGTCGCATACGCGGTCAGCGAATCGCCCTGGAATATTCCGGATTGACACGGTCGTGCCTTGCCGCCCTCCGCACTGCGGGCTTCGGTTGGCACGTGGGGTACATTTAATTAGGCCCGGGCGCACATATTTAAAAGGCGCCACTTGTCACCCTACTGTCACAAGTGATAGGTGCGTGTGGGTCTGCGAGCGATTGACAGATGCCTCCAGCCGAGTGCTGTCCCAGCTGAGGCTGGGCCGGGCTAGACCGAGTGCCCCCCCCCCCCCGAAGCGGAGCACCGCCCCCCCCCCCCTGAATGTTTCGAGCCGAGACGTTAGCCGGCGTCGCAAAGCAGCGAGACGGGTGACGGTGTCGCGAAGGTTTGGGGCCGTCCATAAATGACGTCACGCGAATTTTGGACGATTCTTGACCCCCCCCCCCCCCTCGTCACACGGCATCACAGAAAGTCAGAACCCCCCTCAAATATGACGTCACAAAGCTCTGCCCCCCCCCTCCCCAAAACCATGTTTCCATTTTGAAAATAAAACATGCTTCAAATCGCTTTAAACTATTGTCATTTTAGTGCGTATTTAATGTGGCGCTGCACTTTGATGTTGTAGGAGTGTTGATATAATAATTAGTGTTGTTATAACAATTCTATATTTATTTAAAGTTGCGCATTTTTACGTGACGTCACATTTCTCAACTCCCCCCCTCTCGTCACACATCGTCACAAATGTCTTACCCCCCCCCCTCGGTGCGTGACGTCATTTATGGACGGCCCCTTTGGCACCTTGCCCCGGTTGCCAAAATCTAGCCACGGCTTTGGAATTTGCCGATGCCCATGGGCAGGAGGGCGTTGAAGTGAGCGCGTGCGTGTGTCTGTGTGTAGGGGGAGCGGTAGTGTAGCGGTCAGCGCGCTACGAACCCGGCATCCCGAGTTCGATTCGATTCCCGCTCACGGCCAACACCAGCGACAATAATCTGAACCGGTCCTGGGCCTCCCCTAAGTCGACTCGGCCTCACATGAGTACCTGGTGCGGTGTGTAAAAATCATCGCCTCCGGGGAGACAAAGGCGGCCGGGCATAGTGCTGGCCACCCACCCCCTCGGCTGCCGTTCCGGCCGTCATAGGTGCTCGCTAACAGCACTTGTCCCAACGGCCTCTTTAGGTAACACGGGGGATCTTTGTCTTTGTATGGAGGTGGAGGGTGGAACGGTGGTGCAGTTGTTGGCACAATAACCCTTCCGTGCCCTCCGCTCACCCGGGCAGGTAGACGCACGCAAACGCCTCCACGCGGCTCCCTGGGTCCCGGCACCAGCGCTTGGCGCAGCCCACGCGACTCGCCGAGGCCCACACCATCTACTCGGCGAGGAAGACGTGATGGGTGCGTGTACGTGCGCGTGTGTGTGTGTGTGTGTGCGCGACACGGGCGTGTGGGGAGCGATAGTGTAGCGGTTAGCGCGCTGCGCTATGAACCCGGCGACACGGGTTCGATTCCCGCTCACTGCCAACATCAGTGACGATTATATGAACCGGTCCCGGGCCTCCCCTAGGTCGATTCAGCCTCAAATGAGTACCTGGTGCGGTGTGTAAACATTGCCACTAGGGAGACAAAGGCGGTCGGGCGTGGTGCTGGCCGCCCACCCCCTCGTGTGCCGTGCCGGCCTTCATAGGTGTTCGCCAACAGCACTTGCCCCAAACAGTCTGTTACAGACTATACGGTGGAGTTTTGTCTTTGTGCGACACGGTCCCATCGGTGAGCCTGCGTTGGCAAGGGGCAGAGACCCAGCCAGTCACCGCATGCCTCAACAGCTTTTGTTCTGCCAGATATAGGGGGCTAAACGGGCGCGGCAGGGGCTGGAGAAGACACCGACTGATGTGGCACAGGAGGATATGGAGCTGACTGGACTTGCAGATGACCGGCACCAGCAGTGTCAAGATCGGCCTCTGTGGAGGAGGAGGAGGAGGCTCGTGAAGGACGCTGCTGGGCAGTCGGAAGCAGTCGCCCTCCAAACAACAACAACAACAACAACAGGAGGGCAGTGGAAGCGACTCTCGCAACAGCGAGCGAGCGAGAGTCGTCGCGCGTGTGCCGAGGGTTGCGCACCTGCGTGTAGTGGCGGCACGTGCGGTTGTGCGCGCACCCTGCCCGCGCGTAGTCGTAGTTCTGCCCCTCCGAGAACCACGAGGCGAGGACGCCGGCGAACGATGTCGCCCCGTGCGGCGCGCGATGCAGGTTCACCCCGAGGCGTTGGTGGCCTCCACCTCTTCCAGCTGCTCCGGTCCCCTGAATCCCCGGTTCATCTGCCGCTCGGGGATTATCGCAAGCGACTGCCGCCCACTCGTGGGCGGCTTGAGCCAAGGATTCGTCCCACTCCTGTGGAGGCAGCGGGCCGCAGAGCTCGTGCGTTAGGGTTCGCTCCGGAGTTCGCGTCGGCCTGAATGCGCCTGTGTGATCTCGTCTGTACCCAGAAACCCGAGCCGTGTGAAGTATGGCCAAACAGCCTTCGCGAAGCGACAATGAATGGGGGGACACCTTCGACCTTCAGTAGATTGACAATTGACAAAAGGGTGTACATTATGATTGATAATATTGATTCAAACACATGTGTTTGGTTAGGTTGTGTTCAATGTGTGTCGTAAATCCTACTCCACCCGACACAGGCAATGAAGTAAATCTGAACATTTGTTAGCGCGCACTCCTATGGGTCCAGTCCATCGAGAATGCGTACTCATCAGGCAGAGTCAGCTGTTCGGAACAACACTGTCTTAAGTCTGTTGCAAAACTGTCTCAGACTCCGTCTATCGCTCTCTGCGTTAACCTCCCGCGTTGTCTCCATCGGTCTCTCTGTCCCTCTCCATAGACGCGCGTGTCCACTCTCGGTCACTCCGTCGCCCTGAGTGTGTCTACACAGCAATACAGTACCTCTCAAACTCAATCTGTGGCATTCCCTCTCGCCCTCCGTCTCTCTCAATCTGTGCTTCTCTCTCCATCTCTGCCTGTTGTAACTGTCTGTCACTCTCTTTCGGTAGCTGTTTCTCCACTTCTCTCTCGCCCTCTGTACCAGCGTGCACGGCACCCTCGTGTTCACCTTCTGAAGCGCTCGCTCGTCACCGTGGCGTGCGCGATGACCACCACCACGTGACTTTTCTTTCAGTGTTGTGCGCGGTGCTTTTAGCGCCACATCGCGTGGATTTGTAGCGTTTATTTTTATTTGTTTGCTGGTGACTTTGTGTATTTCATATCGAAATCGCCTCCAGTGATGTTGCTGCTGGCGGCAATAAAAGATGTTTAAATGTCAAAGTCTAGTTCTGTATCTCATTTTTTTCTCGAATGAAAACTCACTTCTTTGGAACTGCCTTTAGTGTTTAGTTTGTTGTCCTTCCCCCGCACCTCTGATGATCACGGTTGGCTGCGTACGGTGCGAAAGAAGTTCAGCATACATGCATTGTCTCTGCGTGTGTCTCCGTGCCTGTGTAGCTATATCTGTCTCTCTCTCTCTCGCTAGGCAGGCCCTCTTCACCACTTCTCCATGGTTGCTGCCCTGGCTTTTGGTCAGAGTTGAGAAGTCTCTTTTCATTTTTTTTTAGTTCCGGCTCTCTCGCATTGTCAACCACTCGCTCGGGAGGAGACGTCCCGGGCATACTGTGCGTGTGTGTGCGTCTGTGCGTGTGTGTGTGCGTCTGTGCGTGTGTGTGCGTCTGTGCGTCTGTGCGTCTGTGCGTGTGTGCGTGTGTGTGCGTGTGTGTGTGCGTCTGTGTGTGTGCGTGTGTGTGCGTCTGCGTCTGCATGCGCATTCGGGCGGTCAGGCCGCACTCGAGGTGATCTATGGGGTTGGTGGACCAGAGGGCCCACTTAAGACACCGTCTGTCTGCTTGGTCTGCGGGGGCTGGCGCCTGGCTTTGTCCTCTGGTAATCACGTGGAGGAGGAGAAGAAGAAGAAGACGAAGAAGAAGAAGTAGAAGAAGTAGTAGAAGTAGTAGTAGAAGACGTTATTGTATAAACAGTCGTGCATTTTTCATTGCAATCACTCGGTGCGTAGTGGAGCCGAATGGTGTTTTTTGCGTGTTTGTTTACCACGAAAAATGTTATGCAAGTTCAGATTGCCGACGACGACGAAGAAGCAGATGAAGGAGAAGCAGAGGAAGAAGCACGAAGCATGAAGATGCGCGCTGCGAATTGCAACGAGGCGCGTGGACTCGAAACGAAGACGCATGCAAAATCGGGAGTCAACGACATTGGCGCGTTCAGATCATTTTTAGGGCAACTGGCAGGACGTGCCATTGGCTGGGAGGCGGGATGGCATCTGGTCGAGACCAGGGATGGCGTGGCAGTCAAAGGAGCGAACGCGCCCGAGACGGCGTCCGCCGAGGCAATGGAGTGAAGGGGTTGTTGGCCCGTGTGCATTGTAGAAAATAAATACAAAATCACTCAGCATCTGTGCGTGCTTTATGCACACATTAACCCCCCCCCCCACCATCAATAGTTCCTGAAGAACTCGTACACTCGTACCATCTTTTCCATGTTCGCTGCCGGGGGTTGAACCGTGGCGCGGAGTTTGTTGTGGAGGGATTCGAGGGCGAACGCCTCCTTGGACACGGAGCCTGCTGCATATCCAGGGGCAGCAGCAACAGCAGAAGCAACAACAGCATCAACAACATCAGCAACAGCAGCAACAGCAGTATCAACAACAGCAGCAACAGCATCCACAGTAGAAGCAACAACAGCAGCAGGAACAGCAGCAGCAGAAGCAACAACAGCATCAACAACGTCAGCAACAGTAGAAACAACAACAACAGCAGGAACAGCAGCAGCAACAGAAGCAACAACAACAGCAGCAACAACAGAAGCAACAACAACAACAGCAGCAACAGCAGCAGCAGAAGCAACAACAGCAGCAGCAACAGCAACAGGAGAAGCAACAACAGCATCAACAACATCAGCAACAGCAAAAGCAACAACAGCAGCAATAGCAGAAACAATAACAGCATCAACAACAGCAGCAACAGCAGAATCAACAACAACAGCTGCAACAGCAGCAGAAGCAACAACAGCAGCAACAGCAGAAGCAACAACAACATTAACAATAGCAGCAGAAGCAACAGCAGCAGCAGAAGCAACAACAGCAGCAACAGCAGAAGCAACAACAGCATTAACAACAACAGCAAGCAGCAGCAGAAGTAGCGCACTGTAAACAAACACCGCCGTACTCTCAGGATTATCAGCGGACGACTCCAGAAAGTGAAACGCGGACCATGGCGTGTGCCCGATTTGAAGACGCACTCCCACACGCTTTGTTTGCTGAAAATGTCAGGGTGTGGACGGAAAAAACATAAGGTCTCGGCGTATAATAACGGGACCGGAATCCATTTCCACTTAAGACGGAGAGGTTACCCGGGTCTGTCCCAATCAACGACCCTGGCAATATCTCAACACCCCGGCACACCACGTCCAGTTACACTGCGCATTGGGATGCTTGGATGAAATGCGCCTTCGAAATGTAAAGTGTTGTTATTAATTCTGCATCTCGCTATGACTGCGGCGATTGCTTGTCGTCTGAGATGCGAGCCAGAAAAGTCTCCCGCTTCGGCCACGCGGCGTCTCATGTACCCTTTCGCTGTGCCCGTACCTGTGCCGGATACACCACATCCACTTTACCTCTCTCTATATACGTGTGTCTGTGTGTGTGGAGCTGGGGTTGCTACCGGCCAGTTGCGCTTACTCTAGTCCATCGGCGGAGAGATTCGGTAAGGTTCTAGATTTGAAGCTTTCGTGACTGCAAGGATTCATATTCTTAGGTTTTTTCTGTGAAGTCACGTAGGTAAAAAATTAAAATTTTAATTAATAAAAGTAAAATAAAAAATAAAATAAAAATCACGCTCATTCAGAACTCCTCTCCTAAATGAGCGTGATTTTTATTTTATTTTTATTTTACTTTTATTATTTTTTTTTACCTACGTGAAAAAAACCTAAGAATAAGAATATTCGGTAAGGTATTATTAGAGCTGGCTTACATCGCCCGAACCCTAACTCGAGAGGGAACTCGAACACTACCGCTCTGGCGTGCTCTCGTAGTGGTGGTGAATTCTGGTCACATTTTCTTATTTTTTCGGGGGACGGGGGGACGGGACGTTCATACGCAGATGAAACTGGCAAATCGCTGACTCGCCCCTTACTGGATACCTGTGAGAGAGAGAAAGAGCTTCACAACTCATCGTCTTCCGCACAGTCGAAATGAAGATTCTGATGAACAGAGTTTACGACACTCCGCTGGTGATGTTCCAGAAGGGGCCTCGAGAGCGTGCGCCTGACATCAGGCACGAAAGTTATCGGGTCGAGAGAAGAATGAACCGTGGAAAACATTTCGACTCGAAATTTGCGTGACTGTAGGAATGCATATTACATGGTTTTTTCGGTAAAGTCACGTAGATACAAAATAAAATAATAATAATAAAAAATATTAAAACCTCGAAAAGTCGTGAGTTTTTAGTTTTTTTTTATATTTGATATTTTTATTATTTTTATTTCATTTTCTATCTACGTGACTTTACCGAAAGAACCATAGAATGCGTGGAGCACATGTTGGGGCTGTTGGGGTATTTGTAACCCCCCTGCCCTCTCACCCATCAACCCCGCCCCCCTCTCCCCCGACGTGCTGAAGTATGTGTGTGTGTACAGTACGTGCTAAAGTGTCGGGTATTTTAATGAATTGATTCATAGTTTGATTGCGCTTGCGCAACGCGACACGAGGTCGCGTTACAGAGCCGTGACAGCTGCATTCAACTTTCATGATTGGGAGGACAAAAAGAAAAACAAAGAAATTAGCCCCCCCCCCCCCCCACGTGACCTCAGGCGATTGTTGATGCAATCTCGTTGTTTGGCACGCGCCGATAGATCGGGAATGCGTAATAACAAATCTAAATTTTAATAAAGACGACCTTCATTTACCCGTGAACCCGGTAAACGTATCAACGTTGGACGAACGTTGGACCACATGCCAACGTTGGTATGTGGTCCAACGTTGGACGAACAATTGGACCACATGCCAACGTTTGACTAACGTTGGCATTTGGCCCAGCGTTGGTCCAACGTTGGTATGTGGCCCAACGTTGGCATGTGGTTGGAAACGTCGAGCCAACGTTGGCTCAAAGTCGCATGTTTACTGGGAAAGCCGAGAGACTATATATTTATCAGCTACATATGAAGTCGTTTGGCCGATTCCGTTCGTGAACGTTGACGTTTGTGTGCTGGAGGAAAGGCGAGCACACGGAGACACAACGCGCGCCCCACCCACGGGGAGACGTCCCGCTCGACGATCGACACAGATGATAATTGTTTTTTTTAACCTTCTATCTGGCAACAAAACTGACACCTTTTTTTACAAGGAGTCATGTTTGCATAGACCACAATACCTGCAGCCATAATGCAAACAAAAAACATAACTCTGAGAATATATGCACTGTCCTTTAAGTTGATTGGTCCACACCCGAGACAGCTTTCTTTTAAAGGACACAGCTATCCTGTCTCGGGTGTGGACCAATCAACTTCAAGGACAGTGCATATATTATCAGAAGTTATGTTTTTGGTTTGCATTATGGATGCAGGTATTGTGGTCCATGCAAACATGACTCCTTGTAAAAAACGTGTCAGTTTTGTTGCCAGATAGAAGGGTAAAAAAACAATTATCATATTTTTTACTGGCAAATGAGGTTCCAATGGTGTAAATGATCGACACAGATTATAAACTAACACCTGGCAGCGCCGGGCAGTCTCCGGTCGGAGTGCTCATCCCGGGTGAGTTTGTCATCGTGTAGGATGGTAAGGGCAATACCAAAAAATACTATAAAAAAATCGATACAATAAAATGAGAAAATCAATAGAAAATAAATTAATACAATAAAAAAATCACGCAATTAAAAAGACTCGCCATCCCACATTCCTCTTCCTACGTACATATATGTTTATAAATTAAACTAATAATAATACTAATAATAAGTGTTTTAACGCAGCCCATCGTCCCGCACGAGCTTCTCGCGTTTGCACCCTCATCAGCCGCATTCGGTTCAACAAAAGTAAAACTCTTGGACAGGCTTTGATGTTCAGTATCTCATCAGCGCGAATACGGCTTGCTGAGAGCCATGCTGGAGAACTGTCCGACGCTTACAGGCCAGGGTCACCGAGGAGGGAATAGGTGAGGAGTGGTGAGGACAAGGGGATAGATATAGGAGAGAAGAGACGAGGTGAGTGGTGAACTTGTACCATCACACACCTGGCGTCTTGTTCTTGATCACGAGTAGCTGAGAGTCACGCTTTAGGTTGGTGAGCGCCACGCTTATCGCGTGCGCACTCACCGTCATCATCATCAACACCAGCAGCAGCAGCAACACTAATCCTCGTCTCCTGCTCATTTCACCCACGGAGGGAGGGCGACGGGAACGTGAACACGGATTCCTCCGCCGCTCGACACGGAAGCCGCGCGTCTGTGTTGTGCGTGTCGACCGCGAGCTTCGGCTGCCACGGCCACGCGGACGACGATGGAGAATTCACGAGCGCCCTTCTCGTGCGTACCGCCCGTTCGTCCAATGTAACGAGCACTCTCGGCTCGGCTCGGCTCGCTCGCTCGATCGGTCTTCCACTCGTTCCTCTCCACTCGCAGTGCCGTCGCCGTCCGTCCGCGCGGTATCGACTCCGCACAAAGCCGCCGAGACGAAACTCCTCGCCGCGTTGCTAGAGACCGGTGCTCGCCGCCTCTCCGAATCGACCGACGGGTCGCGAGATGACGAGGAGGGAGAGGAGGAGGGAGAGGAGGAGGGAGGGTCATGCGGAGGAGGATGACGACGACAACGACGACGAGGAGGGAGGAGGACGACGAGGATGGGCAGGAGGTGGACGCTCTAGAAGAATTAATTTTGACAGAGGCCAATGCCTCATTGCGCGCGTGACCTTGCTATTCGCGTTGCGCACAGAGGCGCCCCTGTCTCCCAAATGCCACGGTGCTTTGCGGGCGAACGCGTGTCGCTCGGGGAGGTGCTGCAAGCGCGGCGTGGGGTGGCGATGTCGCCGTGGCGCGGGTGCCAGAGACGGATGTTGCGAGGATGATATGACGATGATGGTGGGGGTGGTGGTGATGGTGGTGGTGATGATGGTGATGTTTGTGATGGTGATGATGGTGATAATGATGATGGTGGTGGTGATGATGATGATGGCGGTGGTGATGATGATGGTGGTGGTGGTGGTGATGATGGTGATGATGATGATGGTGATGATGACGGTGATGTTTGTGATGGCGATGATGGTGATAATGATGATGGTGATGATGGTGGTGATGATGATGGTGATGATGATGATGGTGATGTTTTTGTTGATGGTGATGATGGTGATAATGATGATGGTGATGATGATGGTGGTGATGATGATGATGGTGGTGATGATGATGATGATGATGTTTGTGATGGTGATGATGGTGATAATGATGATGGTGGTGATGATGGTGGTGATGATGGTGGTGATGATGATGATGGCGGTGGTGATGATGATGATGGTGGTAATGATGATAGTGGTGGTGATGGTGGTGATGATGATGGCGGTGGTGATGATTATGGTGATGTCTGTGGTGATGTTGATGCCTGCCGCGCTATGCGATGCGACGCGTGGTATGCACCAACGCGCGCACGCGCGCAGAGACAACAATATCCAACAAATACAAAGATCCCCCGTATAGCCTTACCATACTTTTGGGGCAAGTGCTGGTAGCGAGCGACTATGAAGGGCGGCACGGCACACGAGGGGGTGGGTGGCCAGCACCACGCCCGGCCGCCTTTGTCACCCTCGCGGCGGTAATTTACACATCGCACCAGGAACTCATTTCAGTCTGAGTCGACCTAGGGGAGGCCCAGGACCGTTTAAGATAATCGCCACTGGTGTTGGCCGTGAGCGGGAATGGCACTCAGGTGGCCGGGTTCGTAGCGTCGTGCGGTTAACCACTTACACTACCGCTCCCCACAACAGGCAAAACACACACACATGCAGACACCACACACACACACGCACACATTGACTATCTTGTGTTATGCATTACATCGTCCAGCGTCGAACTGTGACCCATATCTAACAGAGAGGAAACCTTGCCAACAAACCAGCGTCGGTTGAAGCGAGCCCAGACTGTTGAAACAACACCGGTGGATGGAGTCGGCGCAGGGAGGCGTGAATTATTGCGGTAAATTAAAACGGGACGGTACATCAACCACGAGGTCCTATAGAGAAACACGTAATAGAGGGTTTTTTTAGAGTTAGATCGCGTAAATATATAAATGTGTCGTTAAAACCCGCCACCACCCGACACAGCCAACTAGTAAGGGTTGTCACGTAAACAGAACGTGGCCAATTCGTCACCAGTACAGCATCACCGGTGTGTTGGAAAGCCAAGCCACAACATTTACAATCCGAGTACGACGTTTCGCCAGTAATTACAACTAGCTTCATCAGGTGACAGCCAGATTTGTGGCGGGTTTTAGCGACGCATTTATATATTTACGCGATCTAACCGCCAAAAATCCCCCTCTACTATGGATGATATTGGTCGCGAAAGCCTGTTACGTGTTAAACACATGAACACGTGTTCTGTAATCTCAGTGTAACAGTGAAGTCTCACTTTTTATATAAAAAAATAAAGGTCATAACCCTATACATCCCGTTCTACCTACCTTTTGGTTAGTAAATTAAAGAGGTGTCACATTCAACAATAAAGATGCCTTAAAATACTGTGTTATATAATAGTCGGCGTTTCGGGCAATGCTCCTTCTTCACAGCACATCTTTTCGTAGATGGGTAGCGTCTTACGCCTATGGACCACTCAACCTCTCTGGCATCTCTATTGTCGCGCTATGACGAAGGGCCTTTGCCCGAAACGTCGCATATGATATTTGTTTCGATGTTAAGGCCGTAATATTATTGACGAACGTGTTTGAGGATTAATTAGAAATTTGTACCCACATCTTCGTTGGGACCTTTTTGATCGAAATGGTCGACGCGTAAGCCAGGGTGCGGGTTGAACACGTGGCGATGGAGCGAGACGATGAGACTCTCTTTTTTTTATTCATGAAAACCTCTCGCCGACTTTACGCCTTCGCCATCCGCGTGCCTCTGGTTTTGCGAGTGGCTCGCGGCTCAAAAACTCGGGGCCATCGGGACCCTGGGCACGGCAGAGCTCGGTACAACTCACCACGTGATCCCAACCGTCCGAATACTATCAACATTAATTTTTTATTGTACCTTTTTTTCAGAAGCGACCTGGCCACAAATGACAGCTCAACGAAGTGACTTATCATCGCGTGGAGATTAACAGCAGCCACAATACCCTGAACACATGTTTTTGTAAATGTCAACTCCTGTTGAGTGGGTTATCCCACGCTACACGCGCCTGATCATTTGTAATAACGTCCCAAACCAGAATGATAATAATTGCTGCGATTTTGAGTTTCCTAAACAAACATGTGACTTTAATTCATCGTAATTGTTTATTTGCTGTTTAAATCGTGCGTTCTTAAGTAACATGAGTAATTGTGTGTTGTTGTTGTCGTTGCTATAGCGACGAATAGAGAAATATCTAAGTCTGCGCTCTCCACTTGGCTGGGTGAAATATGGTGATCGCGCGACTTTCGCCGATCTTGGCTCAAAAAGCCTCAAGTCGCCAAACAAACACGTCCCGCGTGGCGTACAGAGCGCTGACTTAAATCACCCCCCCCCCCCAAAAAAAAAACTGTGCGGTCATAAAAGTGAGAAAAAAACAATTATATGTAAAAGGCGACGTTTCGGGTTAAGGGCCCTTCGTCATAGGATGTGTATTTTTTTGTTGCTGTTATTTGTGATTGTGCACTACTGCTCACGCGGCATCACGAAATAACTCGACTTAAGTGGGGGTGAGGTCACCGCAGCGCCCGTGCCAGCTTCGGTGCACTTTGAGGCTATCACGTGACGTGTTGAAGGCTCGCTGCTGGCAGGAGGTCACGGGACACACACACACGGCGGCGTTGATGGGTCACACTGGCTGAGATGACTGGCATGTACCCCGCAGCATGTCTTCTCCACTGTGCCAACCTGGGCGTGTCAGCTTGTTGGCAAAGTTGGCACGTGGAGGACGCGTACACAGAGACAGACAGACTCTGTCTTCTCGACAGATCTGTTCTTCACCTGAGGACGGCTGCTTGCGTTGTGGCCGAAACGTCGTGAGAATTATTTTATTATGTTTTATTTTTATTATTTTATTATTTCAATTCTACGTGACTTGATGAATCCCTGCAGTCACGAAAGCTTTAAATCGAAATAAAATCCTCCCTATAGCTTTAGCAGACTTTTGGGGCAAGTGATGTTGGTACCCTATGATGACCAAATGGCACACGAGGTGGTGAGTAGACAGCTCCACGCCTGCCCGCCTTTGCTTCCAAAACCCTGAAGTTTACACACCGCACGAGGTACTAATTTAAGGCTGAGTCGACCGTCGGGGAGGACCAGATTAAAATATTCGTCCGTGATGATGGCCGTGAGTGTAAATAGAACTCGGGTCGCTCACCACTGCGCAAACCACTGCACCACCGCTCCTACATGCAATGCACGCGCGCACACGTAAGTTCGAATCATAATCGTGACAATTTAAATGACCATCTCAATAAACGTGTTTCTAATTTACCCAGCAAAGTCTCGCCGAGTCGTTTATGACACTTCCCCGTATAAATCCTTCCCATAATTATTCAAAGGAATACTGGAGCCGACTGCGGGGTTGAATTCCAACGCTGCCCTTGGTGGAAGAGAGGAGGGGGGGGGGGCTTGAGAGTGGGGGGGGGGGGGAAGGGGCGGCCTGGGAGTGGGAGGGTCAGGATCCCAGTTCCCTTGGCAAGGTCAATCAAAGGCCCCATCAATCGTTAACCGAAACCTCGGTGTGGAGAGGCCGATACGGTAGCAGTGGAGCGTGACGTGCAGTGGTCGGTGGCTCTGGGGGATGGGAATCTTGGTGCCATCCGCACGCATCCTGCTAAGTGATGTCAATCTGTTAGCGTATTCTGCGGGTAATAAGACGCACTTACTCTTAGTTCTTTCGGTAAAGTCACGTAGGTAAAAAATGAAATTCAAATTAATAAAAATAAAACAATAAAATCACGACGTTTCGGAGGCAACACAAGTCTCCGTCATCAGGTGGGACCGTAACAGCCTCACTTGATGCAGCAAATCTGGCTGTGACGGTCCCACCTGATGACGGAGACTTGTGTTGCCTCCGAAACGTCGTGATTTTATTGTTTGATCTTTATTAATTTTAATTTCATTTTTTACTTACGTGACTTTACCGAAAGAACTAAGAGTATGAATCCTCGCAGTCACGAAAGGCTTCAAATCTAGAATTAAGACGCACTTATTTCCCCTCCATATTTTTCCCCAAACATTGGGGGGGGGGGAGGAAGGGGGGGGGGTGCGTCTCATAATCCGGTACGTGAGTGCGTGTGTGTGACCAGATTTGTGTAACTTTATTGACACCAGGTACACGGTTCGGGGTTGGCCAGCCACTCGCTCTCGATGCAACACGACGCCAAGGTTTGAACACGCTCACAGCCATCTACCATCATCGGTAAGTTAATTAATCACCATCCAATCAATCATAATTGAAGACGATTTCATCAAAAACATGCAGTAATTATCATCATTCTTGATTTGAAGCTTTCGCGACTGCAGGAATCCATACCCTCTTAGTTCTTTCGGTAAAGTCACGTGGGTAGAGAAAATAATCGATTACGACGCTTCGATCGCAACACAGGCAATCGCCAGCGGGTGAGACAACTACAGCAAGAAACAACTGCTCAAGTAGGCGAGAGAGCTGCCGTGACACGAGGTTACATCATCATCATCACCTATGGTCAATCCACTGCTGGATGGAGATCTTCACACGCCCCGTCCCGGTAATAGGGTGAGTATAAGGGGGAG